TTTCGTGTATTTATTTGGATATTTAGAAAATATCCAAATAAATATCTAAAAATTTTTACGACCTGTCGGTGATTTTATTTGATTAAAATAAACAAAAAGGACATAAGTTAGAACAAAATATTATTAAAAATAATTCTAAAGAAAAAGTAAACTTAATTTCCATTCAAGAGAAATTTTCACAAAAAAACAAAAATTACTCTTAAGGCAGTAATAGATAAAGACCGGAAAGCAGACTAGGTGAGAGATCAGAATCAGAGGCGGGCGCAATGCGTTTTGCTTTGATTTTTGGCCTTTCGTTGAGTTTTTGGGAATTGTTTCTTGCGTCCGCCCCTGATTCTGATCTTTCACCTAGTCCGCTTTCCGGCCTTTATCTATTACTGTAAACTAATTTTTTGAAAGTTTTATTAAACCAACTTTATAATTTTATTTCCTTATTTTATTGAAATAAAAATTTAAAATTTTTAAAAAATTAAAAATTTGCCACGTTAATCCGTAAAGTAAGAGTTTTGACGTAAATCCAACACTAAATTCATATTATATGAGAAAACTTTGCAGATGTATAAATAATATAAAATAATAAAAATTTAAAATTTTTAAATAATTTAAAATTTGCCACGCAAACCCTTTAATTAAGTAAATAAATGATATGAGTAAATAAATGGAACATTTAGTATATTTAAGCAAGTTTTAAAACCTCTACATTGCTTAATCCCTTATAGAATTTTTAAAGATAGTTAACCAGGAGGAAAAAACTCGATATCCCCCTTAATCCCCAAATCCATTAATATTACTCTTAATCCATCCAAATCCATTTAATCCCTGTCTATTATTATATCACTCACACAACCTCTCTTGTTAATCCCGCAAATCACTGATATATCACCAACCTCACCGAAGAACATGGTTGCGTGTTTAAATTTTTCTGACCCGACCCGACTTTTTTCTCTACCCGGCCCATCCCTGCTGTCGATCATTGTTTTATTGTAAATCTTAAATTGAGAATGACACTTTTAATAGATAGACCCTTTAAGAGTGGAGAAAAATAGAATGACCGGACGAATTTGTTTGATAAATAAATTTTTTTAAGATAATTTTATTAAAAAATCAAAAATGTCTCCATCAATTAAAATTTGTCTTCTTTTTATTTTTGCGACTTTAGTAATTAATAGTCAACAACAATGTGTTCCTAAAGGTGGTGATTGTAGTTCTGATATAAGCGTCTCTAGTTGTTGTCAAGATAAAGAAACACTATTTTGCTTAGATTGGGGTAACAACAAAAAACAATGCCACAATTGTAAACCAAAGGGAAAACCATGTTATCCGGGAACTTTACAGAATGATTTCTGTTGTAATAAATGTGATTCTGTCAAGAAAGTTTGTACATAAAGAAGAGAAATAATTTAACCGTCCTTAAATGTGACTGATATTAAATGAAGGGAATTTATATATTAATTTTAACAATCCTATTCTTTTCCTTACTAATACATATAATTATGGGCAATTAAATTAAAAAATGTATTTCTAATTAAAATTAAAATAATCGGAACTTTATTTCAAAAATAAATCTATTACTGAAACAATAATTTCATTTTGTGTTTCCTCAAATTTCTGCTGATTTCTGCTGAAATCACACAGCACACAAATCAAAAAATTTTAAAAAATTGGTTTTTAGAAGAAAAAAGAAAATTTAAATATAAAATAATTGGTAATAATTAATTAAATTATTGAATTTTTAACTTAGGTATATTTATATTCAAATCAACTCAAATTCTTTCAACAAAATAGAACGCACGCTTACATCCGCAGCACTAAAATATAAATGCCTGGGAAGAGTTTCGGAGTAGGAAGGGTTCGGGGGGAGATTTATAAATTTTTATTTACTGGCAAGTTAACTTGCTTTTTCAAATTTATATTAGAAGCATTTATTATTATTTAAAAAATTATTAAAGAAAAATAAAGAAAATTATCATAGTAGAAAAGAGATAAAAGTTTTATGAAAAAGATAAAGGAAAAGATAAATTTTAAATGTAGTTTTCGGTTCTGTTTCACATGTTCCAGGAGAACACCTTAATTCTGACATTTACTATTATCTTCACAAGTTCCAAGACAACACTCTGGTTTTCCATTGCAATACTCCCCAGCACTTGTACATTTCTTACATTTACTGTCTTTTTCACTAGGGATTGAACGACAATTTAAACCAAAGCAACATCTATCGTAGTCTTGATTACATGACTCATTTTCTTTTTTTCATTGTTGTTGAAGACATTGATATCTTGAGTTTCTTTGCCAGTTATTACGTCCAGGTTTATCCCAAGTACGCGTGCAAGATAAACCATTACAACAACTAGTAGCGTTACAACCAGATTGATAATATTGTAAACATTTTTGACATTTTGTTAATTCAAAAATTAAAAAAGTTGAAAAAACAAAAAGAAAATAAATATTAATTGAAGAAGACATTTCTTTAGAAGAAAATATTTTTATTTTAAATTTAACTTAAAATAATTTTAATTTTTAAAGATTAGTTTTAAATGTAATTTTAAATGTAGTTTTCGGTTCTGTTTCACATGCTCCAGGAGAACACCTTAATTCTGACATTTACTATTATCTTCACAAGTTCCAAGACAACACTCTGGTTTTCAATACATCTTCAAGGGACCGCTCTAATAGAGGATGCCGTTCAATTAGAGGATTTACGGTAGATTTTCTTTGCCAATTTGGTGTTAATAAAGATATCCTGTTTTATTTTCTCAAAGAAATAATTTTTAGAAAAAAAATAATTTCTATTAAAAATATTCCCTCCCTTTGCTTCTCTTATGTATTTTTAATTTAATATACTCGATTTTAACACATCAATTATTTGTTTTTAAAAATAAATATTATTTGGCCCCCTAGTCTTTTTATATCCCTTTTTAAATATTGTAAACTTAATATATTTGTATTTTTTAAAAGAGAAATTTTAATTTGTAACAAATTAGGGTTTAAATTGAATAAATTTTTTTAATATTTTTATTTAACATTTTTTTTCAATTAAAACGATTTTTAACGATTTTTATTTTTTTTTAAATTTTATTTTTAGTATAATTAATAAAAACATTTTAGTAAATGTTTTTGTTTTCAAGAAATAAAATAATTGTTAAGCGGTTGGTGGCTAATCGGTAGGGTTTAATTATTTAAATAAATGAGGGGTATTGTGTAGTTGTAATCTTGTTAAATAGTTGAATTTTGAACTAGAAAGGGAGACTAGATAAATCGAATGAAGTTGTTTCATTCTCTAAATCGGACAAGATTTGTCTACATTAAAGTGGTAACGCTCCTTGGGTTGTGTTTATTTGGGTGCTTAAATATTTGGTGGGACAAGGGATTCTCTAAAAAGCTTAAAAAGGCGGGTGTTTTTCTGTTCTATTAAAAGAAATAAAAAATCTTTTTTTCAATTTTAGAAGGTTTTCCACTCCCTCACCTTCACCAACCTCCATACAAAATAATTTTGTATCTCCATCAACCTCAAATCTTTTAACACCAATTCCTTCAGAAATGCCTTCCTCAGCTTTTGGATTATTTAAAGTTTTTATTGTGGCTTTAATTAGTATGTTGGCTGGTGCTAAAACAGCAGAATTTGGTGCTTCTTTTCTTGAAGAAAGTGAAATTTTTGTTCGTTCTTCTGAAGATGATGATGATTAAAAAAATTTTTTTTAAGTTCTCCCAAATAGATTTAATGTATTTACTCGGTGCTTTTTAATATATTTTATCTGTACAATTTAATTTTTATTATTACATATTCATGTGAGAATAGCGTTGTAATTTTGATTGTTGATTTTCTCGTGCTTAGAAATTATCCAAATATCTAAAAATTTTTACGACCTGTCGGTGATTTTATTTGATTAAAATAAACAAAAAGGACATACATAAGTCAGAGCAAAATATTGTTAAAAATAATTCTAAGGTAAAAGTAAACTTAATTTCCATGCAAGAGAAATTTTCACAAAAAAACAAAAATTACTTTTAAGGCAGAAATAGATAAAGGCCGGAAAGCGGACTAGGTGAGAGATCAGAATCAGGGGCGGGCGCAATGGTTTTGCTTTGATTTTTGGCCTTTCGTTGAGTTTTTGGGAATTGTTTCTTGCGTCCGCTGATTCTGATCTTTCACCTAGTCCGCTTTCCGGCCTTTATCTATTACTATAAACTAATTTTTTTTGAAACTTTTATTAAACCAACTTTATAATTTTATTTCCTTATTTAATTGAAATAAAAATTTAAAATTTTTAAAAAATTAAAAATTTGCCACGCGGATCCTTTAATTAAGAGTTTTGACGTAAATCCAGCACTAAATTCATATTATATGAGAAAACTTCGCAGATGTATAAATGATATAAAATAATAGAAATTTAAAATTTTTAAATAATTTAAAATTTGCCACGTGAATCCTTTACTTAAGTAAATAAATAGAATATTTAGTATATTTAAGCAAGTTTTAAAACCTCTACTTTGGTTAATCCCTTATAGAATTTTTAAATATAGTTAAGCAGTAGGGGGAAAAACTCTGTATATCCCTCTTAATCCACAAATCCATTAATATTACTCTTAGTCCATCCAAATCCATTTAATCCCTGTCTCTTATCATATCACATCTCTTGTTAATCCCGCAAATCACCGATATCAACAACCTCCGAAAAACATGGCTGCGCGTTCAAATCTTTCTGACCCGATCCGAGGCCCGCCCCGACTTTTTTCTCTGCCCGGCCCATCCCTGCTGTCGATCACTGTTTTACTGTAAATCTTAAATTAAATGACCCTTTTAATAGATAGACCCTTTAAGAGTGGCAGAAAAATAGAATGACCGGATGAATCTACCGGATTTATTCTAATAGAACCACATGTGGTTCTATTTTTCAACCCCTCAATTTGATGTGGTTCTAATAGAGACTGTGGTTCTATTAGAATAAATCCGGTATTTGACAAATAAATTTTTTAAAGATAATTTTATTAAAAAATCAAGAATGTCTTCATCAATTAAAATTTGTCTTCTTTTTATTTTCGCAACTTTAGTAATTAATAGTCAACAACAATGTGTTCCTATAGGTGGTAGTTGTGTGAATAAATTTTGTTGTGGTGATCTACTTTGCTTTAAATGGGGTAATGGCCATCAATGCCACACTTGTAAAAAAAGGGAACAAAGTGTGATCCGACAGCTTTACAGAATGATTTTTGTTGTAATGTTTGTAATATTAATAAAGTTTGTACTTAAAGATGAAAAAGAATGTGTGGAGGATTTAAAAAAGAGAGGATTTCCTATTAAAGGATTTTTAATTAAAATAATCGGGACTTTTTTTCAAAAAAAAAATAAATCTATATGGTAATATTTTACTTTATCTTTCCCCAAATTTGATATAAAAATTTTTTTTGTACTATCAACTCTTTGAAAAAATTAATTGTAACATACCGTATTTCCTAAAATAAAGCCCCATGGGGCTCTATTTTTCAACTATCCTACAAAGTGGGGCTCTATTTTAGGGTGGGGCACTAATTTAGCATGGGGCTTTATTTTAGGAAATACGGTATACCTATTTATGATATGCACAATAAAATTTTAATTAAAATTAAATAATAATTCGAAGAAATTTTTTGAGGAAATTAAAATTTTGTTAATTTGAATGTAATAATATAAAATTAATTTTAACTCCACTTGCAAAGGAGTTAAAGGAAAGAAATAGAACCTGCTACCTCTAAAAAACTATTAAGGGAAAGATAAAAGTAATTATAATAAAATACTTGAATTTATTTTATTTGTAATTTTAGGTTCTTTTCGACATTAAACCAACAACCCTAATTCTGACATTTATTATCTTCACAATTTCCAAGACAACAATCTGGTCTTCCAAAGCAAAAGTCCCCAGCAGGGATGTCACGGGTTACCCGAAACCCGGCCTTTTTTTCGACCCGATACCCGAAACCCGATCCGAGAAATTTTCTAAAACCCGACCCGAAACCCGACCCGACATTTTTCTCAACTCGTGACATCCCTGGTCCCCAGCACGTTTTCAACTTTTTACATTTACTAGCACAATTTAAACCAAATATTACTAATTAAGTCATAATTTAATTAAATAGGCAGAGAAGATGTTTTAAATATATTTGAATGATGAAAATAAATTGAACAATTTTTATATTCCCAAACTTCGCTTCCTGGCACAAATTAGATGGAATTAAAACAAACTTTTAGGGAAATTTAAACACAGAAAAAAAGAAAACTTTCTTTTGGCTAAATTTTTTAAATTTTTAATATTTGTTTAAAAATAATTTTTATCTAAATATTTGAGTAAATTTATTTAAATATACCTATTTATGTATTCCTTTTTAAAATTAATTTATTTAAGAAATCTTTCATTTTTACTGAAAAATTAAAAAAAAACAAAAAAGAAATTAAATTTTATATCTAATTATTTATTTTTAAATTTCATTAGAACATTTAATTTCGAAAATCCGGTAGTAAGAAAAAAACCTAGGAAAAAGCTAAAAATTTTCTAGAGTAAATCTATGATGTCTATCGGTTAGTCAGTGTCATACTATTTTATTAAAAAACGAGATTTGTGAGCCACGAACTAGCTCATAACATAAAAACCAAATTTAAATTCTAAACCATATTTCCTTATTTTATTAAAGCCACGGATTAAAGCCCCCCTATGGTTTTTCGATTTTCGGGGGCCTATATCTCAGCCCCTATATGAGTCCGCACGAAAATTTTTTCACCATTCGACTCAACTCGGCGAGCTCTTTCGAATGACATATAACTTGACCCATTTGCTTTCTGTTCAGTATTCCGAAATTATACCTTGTTTCTTTAATATATACATACTTTTTTTCCCCGTCTGCCATATTTTTTCAAATCTTTAGAACACGCCATAACGCTAAAATTGGCCAGAAATAACGCCAAAACAAAAACGGATAGCTTGCTGGTCTTATTTATTTTTTCCAATTGAATAATTTTGTAATTTTTTTGAGTCCATGGAAATTATTTAATAAATATAAATTTCTTTTTTTAAGATACTAATTTTACTAAAAAATAAAAAAATGCCATCATCAATTAATTTTTGTCTTCTTTTTATTTTAACAACTTTATTTTTGTTTCAATTTTGTGACAGTTATTATTGTCTTCCTAAAGGTGCTGATTGTTTAACAAATAAAAATTGTTGTGGGGGTTTACGTTGCTTTAATTGGAGTAACGGCAAGCAAGAATGCCACACTTGTAAACAAGCAGGAAAATCTTGTAATCCGAATGCTGAACAGAATGATTTTTGTTGTAATAAATGTGATTCAGTCAGGAAAGTTTGTACATAAAGAAGAGAAATAATTTAACTGTCCTTAAATGTGACTGATATTAAATGAAGGGTATTTTTTATTTATTTTAACAATTTTATTTTATTTCTTACTAATATGATTATGGGCAATTAAATAAGAAAAATGTACGTATTTCTAGTAAAAATTAAAATAATCGAAACTTTCTTTCAAAAATAAATCTATTGCTGCAGCAATAATTTCAATTTGTGTTACTTTGTGTTCTTTTTGTTTATTTGGGAAATTTAATGGTACCAAATATTTATGTTACAATATTAAAATTAATATTTATAATATTCGAAAAATATTTTTTTGGAGAAAGTAAAATTCTGTTCAACTAAATGGACGCTTATATTTGCAGCAATAAAATAGTAGTTAAAATGCCTAGGAAGAGTTTCAGAATTTTTATTTTTTTTATTTTTTAGTTAGATTAAAAGTATTTTTAGAAATACCTACATATAAATATACTATATTTTATTTTCCAAATGAATTATTGCCAAAAAATTAAAATTATACAAAATTTTATTATTTAATTTTATCGCAAAAAAGTTCATTTAATTAAATTTATCGACAATATTTTTATTTGTCTTTTATCCAAATAATTTTTAAATATTTATTTATTTACTTATACAATTTCCATATTTTGTATCCTCATGAGTATCACGATTACAGATTAAATTAGGGCAGCATTTATGGTAATAATCATCACAACGAGTATTGCTATCATTAATACATTTTGTTTGGGTAAATTTAGTTGTTGTTTCTCTGTTAAATTAAAAGAATAAGTTAAATGTTTCTTTAAGTTAGACAAAAAAACAATTAAAAAAATAAAAATACCAAAAATCATCTTTGTTTTTAAAAATGAGCAAAACTGAGAGTAAGGGTTTTATATCTCAATTTCATAATTTTATCTCGCTGAGCATTGCCTAGCTAATTAATCTCACAAATTTCTTTCTCTCCTCTACCTTTACTTTTATTAATTTTTTTTTAAATTCCAGCACTGCGACGTGGAACCCTCTTTTTAATTACACAAATCCGCCAGACAAGATATTTAATGAATAAATATTTTTTCTCCTTCATCAATTTTTTCCGCCCAGCCCCCGAAAAATTGAAGATTCCGTACCCAATATATCCGCCATGAATGTTCGTGGTACAACCGTGAAACCCCTTGAGAAGATTTACAGTAGTGGACAAAATTATAAAAACTCTACTTCGTTTTGTTTGAATTTTTATAGATTTTTTAAAAATTTCCCTACAAGTATGATATTGGGGTTATTTTGTAGCTTATTTTTTCCACTTTAATTTGATGTATAACTATTTTACATATACTTTCAAAATTTCATAATAATTAATATTATTCCAAAGTAGGCACTTTTTTGTCACGACAAATTATAAAGACTTTTAATCAAAAAATTTTTTGATAGGCAGAAAAATTTACAACAATTTCCGAGGACTTAACTTACAATACTTTAATTTTATTTCCTAAAAAATAATTTTTCCTCACCTTTTTCTGACACATTTTCCATTACTAAAAGGTTCCTTTGTTTCACGAACACATTCACTATTCTTACCACAACAAGGATAATATTCATTATCACAACCTGAATACCCAGTTCTAATACATTTAGTGTAATTGTAGACAGATTGGAATAAAATAAAAATTGAAATTAAAAAGAAAATGGTTTGGAGTTTGAATGACATTATTTTTTAAATTTATTTTTTAATTTTTAAATTTGAAAATTAAAATAAAATTGAATATTCAAAATAAAATAATTTTATTGTGTAAATTCAATTAAATTTTTAAATATCCCCCTTGGAATTAAAAAATGGATGGGGTTTGGAGGAATTGCTTAGTATGAATGTAAGCAGCAGGGCTGGACGCAATTGAAAGAAATTTTCCGCAGCCGCAATCCGCAAGTGCATCCAGCCCGCTTAGGCAGATCTCACTACAGAGTGAGGTGTATATAGAAGTTAAGGTATAGCTTAAAAATCAACTTTAAAATTTTAATTGTGTACACCAACAGAGACTTGATTGAAACTAAAACTATTTATCTCTTTGGTGAATTAATAAAATTGATTTAAAATATATTTAAATTTAAAAATTAAAAGAATATATAAATAAAATTGTAGTCTGGTTAATAATCCAAATATGGATTCAGTTTTTATTAAATAAATAAATCCTCAACATCGCTTCCATAAAAGAAAAATTTAAAAAAATATTTGTTTAATCAGGCATTTAAATTTAAAAAAGGAAAAAATCTTATTTTAGAAAATTTAAAGGAATACATTGATTTTTTCAATTTTTTTAATTTTTAAATCCATGGATGTAACGTAATGCGTATATTAATTATTCAATGTTTGCCATAATTGATAGATTTTTTTAAATTAGAAATTATTTTAGAAACATAAATTAAAAAAATTTTTTTTTAATATTTTAAAAATTATTTATCGTTAAGAAAAATAAAATAAAAAATCAAAATAAAAAATTTAAAAACTTAAAATTAATTAAAATTAAATTTAATTTAAAAAAGACAAAATAACTAATTTAAAAGAAATTCCTTAAATAATATGATTGTCAATATTATAAACAAAGGGCTTTGACAAAAGATCATTTCCAAAATTAGTTTCCACCGAACAAGACAAAAGTCCAATAAATGGATATAAATTAATGTTATCTTCTGCGAGTACAATATTTTTACCTGAAAATTAATGAGACATTTTTTGATTTATTCGTATTTTATTTAAATTAATTTTAAAAATTAAATTTTCTCCTCACCAATTTTCTTTCCATTTTTAGTAAAAAATACATGAGCCTTTTTAATCAAATCATTCTTTGGAGGAAAAATAATTCCACAACCAAAAACATCTCCATCTACCCATTTAAACTTTTCAATATCTCCCCAAGTAGTGGCATTACTACACAAAAATATTTTTGCATTTGGAACATCAAGACCAATACTTGCATAACAACTAAAAAATTGTTTTTATTTACTTAAAGAATTGGCTTATAAGACTGGATAAATGTTGAGAAAATAAAGTAAAAGCGAGGTAAAAGTTTAATCCCGGGCAGGCTTCGATCCTGCGACCTCTCGGCAGTTATTGCTAGGCGCTTTCACTCACCACGTATGTATGTACAGGTGCTCTACTAACTGAGCTACCGGGACGTTGCTTTCACCTAAATGGATCTTAAACCCCCGCCTAGTAAGCGTTTTAAATGCTAGCTAAATCCTTCTCTGCCTTACGATAATGTAGATAATAGAATGGGATTAGCAAGTGTTAGCTTATAGAAAAACATTACATTTTTGAATTATGTACTTCATATATTTTCATTTCAAAATACATTAAAGACTGAAGACTGTCATGAGCAGAAGCTTTGTTGAATGGATATTGTGCAGACAAACAAATCCATTTATTTTCGCTATTCCAATCATCTACATTTTTATTTCTATATTTTATTATTCCATTCTCATAAACATTAACATATCCATTTCTATAATAACAATAACCAGTAGGTAAATTAGAATTAATACATTTATTATCACAACAAGAATTTTCATTTTTAATAAAATTTATTTTATTTGTTCTACGCATAAACACAATTCGTTGTTTGTCATTTTCTTTATTTAATTGATCCAATTTTGATGTTAATTCATCAATTTTAACATTGAGAGAATTGATAGTTCTTTCCGACTTAAATTATTTTAATAAATTATTTAAAAATGTTTCAATAAAATCACAAATTAAAGTAAATCCCCCAAGAATTATTTAATTATCACGCAAAAGACACCAAAATTTTTGGAAATTAATTCATAAAACCAAAAAAAAGATTAAAGCATACCGTTTTGACTTGCAATCCTAAAGAACTGATTTTCTCATCCTTTTCAATATTTTTAGTAAGAAGATTGTTATTTTCTACAAGAATATTTGTCTTTTCCAAATTTAATTCTTTAATTTGTTTTAAAAGTTCTTCATTCTAAATTAAAAAATTAATTAAAGAAAAAGAAAAATATTTTAACATTTTTTTCTGTCTCATATGTAAGATGAATTTCACGAAGCTCATCTTCAAATTCTGATCTCTCCAAGTAAATTACTTCAATTTCATGTTCACGTCTATATTCAGAATCTTTTAATTTTTTATTTAATTCTTTATTTTCTTCATCAATTTCCACAATTTTAATTTTATATTCCTCCAATTCTTCCAATAATTTATTTTTTACTTTAAAAATCCCCTCATTTTCACTTTTCAATTTAGCCAAATTAATTAATTCCAATTTTTTATCTTCTTCATATTTTCCAATTTTTAATTTATTTTCTTCCAATTCTTTTAATAATTCTAATTTTTCTTTTAAAATCTTTTCATTTTCCTCTTTTAATTTTCCAAATTCTTTTTTAAATTTAGACAGTTGATCCAAAGCTCCATCCGATGTCTTTTTCAAAATTCTAATTTCGTCTTCTTTTTCATATTTATCCAATTCTAAATATTTTATTTTGTTTTGTTGTTGTTGTTGCTGAAATTAATTTTAATTTACAAAAGAATGAAAAAAATCTTAAATTTATTTCTTACACTTGTATTCGTTTTTTAGATTAAATGAAAGGAAAAAATTAGATTTACCCGAACCCCGATACATGAAACTTTGCCTTTTCCTTAATCCCGAAGGATAGGGAACAGGGTTGCTGTTTTCGAGTTGGGCCAACGGTCGATGCATTTTTCGGGCTTGCCTTTACCGTGACGTGCCTGTACGAATCTTTACGGGCCAAATATCTTAAGCCCGACTCGATCTTTCGGTCTGATGTGAATCGGGCCATTTTGGCAACCCTAATAAAAAAGATGAAATTGCTAAATGAGGAACAAGGATGGACTAAAGAGATGGACTCTAACTAGATTATTCATTAAATACCGTTTTGACTTCCATTTCTAATGAAAGAATCTTCTCATCTTTTTTCTCAATTTCTAATTGTAATTGTTTATTGTTTGTCAAAAGTTCTTCTGTCTAAATAAATATTTAATTTAAAAATTATTTAAAATAATTACATTTCTTTCTCTAACATGGCTAGCCTCGTTAAAAGTAAAGTTATGCTCATTAAAAATTTTTACTTTTTCCAAATCCTCCGCCAAATCTTTAATTTCCTAAAAATTAAAATTTTTATATTTCAATCTTCTTAAGGCAAATAACATTTCAAACAGTACAAAAAATTATTTCAAAGATGGCCGTTATTTCAAAAAATTTCCAAAATTTTAGTTATTTTCAAGAAATCTTAAGAAAAATTTTACTTTAATTTCTTGTTCATATTTCCTCTTATTTAGTTTAATTTCCAAACGAAGTGAAAATATTAAATATTCAGAAATTTCCAATTTTTTGTTTAATTCCAACAAAATTTTTTTCATATTTCTTATTTCTAATATGTCATCTCTCAATTCCTCTAATACATCTTTAAATTGCTCTAATAATTTTAATTTTTCTTTATAAATCTTTTCATTTTCTTCTTTTAATTTTTCAAATTCTTCTCTAATTTTAAAACATCCATCCACAGCTTCTCCCATTGTTAAAATTTTATTTTCATAATCATTTTTAGTTTCTTCCAAATTTTCTTTCAAAATTTTAATTTCCTCCTCTTTTTTCAATTTATCCGATTCTAAATATTTTATTTTTTCTTTTTGTTGTTTTTGCTTAAAATCTTCACTCATTTTATCATTCAATTCTTGTAATTGTTTAATTATTGTTTGATTTTGACAGAGTCCTTGTTCTTGAAGATAAACATTATTTGCAGGGAAACTTTGTTTTGTTGAGTTAATTGTTAACTATTTAAATGAAATGTATTGTTAAATTTGGAAGATTAATTAGTTAATTTTAAGAGGATTTTGAAATTTAAGTTTATTACAGAGGATAAACAAGAGTGATTAAATTAACTAGAAATGACAATATAATTTTTAATTAATTAATTTATTAGTAGGATGATTGTCATTTGTCCAATTAATCTATCCTTTAATTAAAAAAACCCCCTACCAAATCAAGTTTAGCCAAAATTAATTGAAAAGCCAAATTTGTTTTGTCTTTTTCAACCTAAAAAATAATAAATAAAATAAAAATAATTTTAATTAATTAATTACCTCCAATAATTTTATACGATTTAAAGAATCTTCAAAAGTTGAAGTAGAACAAGAACATAAAGAGGTTGATAAATCATTATTGGAATTTTGAAGATTAACGTTCATCTTAAATAAAATTAATTTTTAAAAACTAGAAACAATTTTTTGATAAAATTTTAAAGAATTGAAAGCAAAATTTAGAAAATTTGTTAAAAATTGACAAAAGTCTGTTAAAAATAAATTAATTTTTTATTATAAAAATTAATATTTATAGGGAGGAATGAGGTTAGATTCATCTTTTCCCTCTCCTTAATTAACCGCCAATTCACCTTCAGCAAATAATTAATTCACAAAATTCAAATTTTTATTCTTATATTATTCTATATTTTCTCAAAAGGATTATATTTTGGGAAGGTTATATTTTTCTGCCGATACAAACTTCATTTGGGTTCTGTGAATCAAGGATCGGTTTCGGAATTTTCAAAATCGAAAATTGAAAGAAAAATTACTCTTACACGGACTTGCTAAAACACAGTACGACCAAAATACAGACCATATCAAAAATACTGTCCAAAGATAGAATCTGCACGGTACACCTCAACTGAGTCCGCACGATTGAGTCCTCACGATTGAGTCCGCACGATTGAGTCCCCACGATTGAGTCCCGGCACGATTGAGTCCCCACGATTGAGTCCGCACGATTGAGTCCCCCTTGTACATATATACCTCAATTGAGTCCCCATGGATTTAATTATATTAAAAAGGATTAAGAGGGATATCGGGGGATTTTGAGGGATTAAGTAGACATCAAGGGACTTGTGCGTGGCACGAGGGATAAGAGGGATATCGGTGGATTTGGAGGGATATACAGTGATTTGGAGGGATATACAGGGATTTTAAGGGATTAAAAGGGATATTGGTGGATTAAGGTAGAAATCGAGAGATTGAGAGGGAGTAAGAGGGATATGTCGACAGTAAATTAGATTGCATGCAAATTCTCACAAAAAGTTCCCCTCCCCCGTGAAAAAAGAAAAAAATTTCCCCTTCACCTCCCCCGTGAAAAAAAAAAATTTTCCCGGTTCCCGTCACCTACCCCGTGAAAAAAAATTTTCCCCGTTCCCGTCACCTACCCCGTGAAAAAAATTTTCTCAGTCCCCGCCCTCTCCCCACGTGAAAAAAATTTTTTCCCCGTCCCCTTTCCCTCCCCCGTGAAAAAAGAAAAAATTTTCCCCGTCCCCTCCCCCCGTGAAAACCCCCCGCCGACGGGGGCCAACCTTATTTGGAATAATTTAAATTAAAAAATGAAATTTTTAAAACTAAATCCACGGGGACTCAATTGAGGTATATACAAGAGGGACTCAATCGTGCGGACTCAATCGTGGGGACTCAATTGTGCCGGGACTCAATCGCGGGGACTCAATCGTGCGGACTCAATCGTGCGGACTCAGTTGAACTGCTCCGGAATCTGCATTTTTATTTTCAAAAATATTTATCGCGGCATCCCGCTAAATTTTAGAACGGGATTTTCGGGATTACGGGATTAATCCCGCGGGATCCTGTCCGTAAAAAATTTAGAAAAAAATCCCGTTACGAGATCCCGTGAATGCGATTTTGCCGCACACTAAATGATTTTTTAAATTGTGCCTTTATTTTTTAAAATTGATAATTCTTCATATTCAAAAAAATTTAAAAATTTGGAACTAGAACTAGCTTGGAACTCCAGAACTGGAACTGGAACTAAGGAATTTCAAAAATGGAGTTCCGGAACTGGTTAGAGCCCCCCCAGCCACGAAATTGAGGAAATAGGGAGAGGGAAAACTACGACCTTCCAAATTCTCAAAATTCTCGCATGCGGCGCTAGTAAGAAAGATATCTGGCTTTTTGACTTTCCATAACTCAAAATTTTTGGCGCTTATTTTTGGCGCTTAAGGCGCCAAAAATTTTTTATTGTAAATTCCCGACTCCCGAGGTCATTTCCCGACCCGACTTTTTTTTTATCATAATGCGTGTATTATTTGTACAATGTTTGCTATAATTGATAGATTTTTTAAATAAATGATTTTAGAAATATAGCTTAAAAATTTTTTTTAATAAATATTTTAGAAATTATTTATTGTTAAGGAAAATTAAAAAAATCCAAATAAAAAATTTTTAAAAATCAAAATTTAAATTAAGATAAAATTAAATTCAAAAAGACAAAAAAACAAATTTAAAAAATTCCTTAAATAATATGTTTGTCAACATTATAAACAAAAGGTTTTGATTCTAGATCATTTCCAAAATTAGTTTCAACCGAACAAGACAAAAGTCCAATTATTGGATGAAAATTGACATTATCATCTTCAATTGGAACTCTTTTGCCTAAAAATTAAAAAAACATTTCTTGTTTGATTATTTATTTTAAATTAACTGCACACTAAAACAACATTTTGATATTTTATAATTAAAATTAATTTTAGATTTTAGTTCTCTCCTCACCAATTTTATCTCCATTTTTAGTAAAAAATACATAAGCCTTTGTTTTCAAATCATTTTTTGGAGGAAACACAATTCCACAACCAAAAACATCTCCCTCTACCCATTCAAATTTTTGATAATTTTCCCAATTAATATACGAATAATTACACAAAAATATATTTGTATTTTGAACATCAAACCCAATACCAGCATAACAACTAAAAAATTATTTTTTAAAAGTAAAAATTTGCTATGAGAAATTCATTTTAATGTTTGATTTCTTACTATTTAAAAACTAAATAAAAATTGTGATCTAAACTAATTAAACATTAAAAACATTACAATGCTCCAAATTCTGCACGCATTTTCACTTCAAAATAAAATAAACGATAATTATCGCTATAACTCGAAGCTTTAAAATATGGATGGTAACTTGAAGCTTTAGTGTATGGGCGTTGTCCATTTAAAAAAATCCATTTATTTTCCCCCATCCATGTATTTATATATTGTATCAATCCATTCTCATAAACATTAACATATCCATTTCCATTTTGGCAATAACCAGTAGATAAATCAGAATTAATACATTTACTTTTACAACAAGAATTTTGATTTTGAACAGAATTCATTTTATTTGTTCTTTTCACAAAAACAACTCGTTGTTTGTCATCTTCTTTATTTAATTTATCCCATTCTGCTGTTAATTCAGCAATTTTAACATTGAGAGAATTAATTGTGCTTTCCGACTTAAATTATAATATTTTAATAAATAATATTTTTATTCAAAAAATCACAAATTAAAGTGAATCCCTCAAGAATTAATTAATTAGGTACTTAAAAATCAAGTCAAAAATCAAGTCTTTCAAATCAAGTCAGGGTAATACCAAGGCTGGTCCCCCCTTTTTTCTGTTCTATTTTTTTAATTTTCTATGACAAATTATATCCATTCGAAAGATCTCTTCGAGCTGAGTCGAACGGTACTAAAATCATCGAAATCAGACTTAAATAAACATACAGAATCACCAAATCTAACGATCATGGTTTTTTCGAATAGCTCTTTCGAATGGCTCCTTCCCTTAATTATCCCACAAAAGGACAAAATTTTTATAAATTAATTCATAAAACTAAGAAAAAAATTCAAGATTACCGTTTTGAGATGCAATTCTAAAGAACTAATTTTCTCATCTTTTTCCCGAATTTCAGTAAGAAGAGAATTATTTTCCACAAGAATATTTGTCTTTTCCAAATTTAATTCTTTAATTTGTGTTAAAAGTTCTTCCTAAATTTAAAATTAAATCAAAAAAGAAAAGAATTTTAAACATTTTTTTCTGTTTCATATTCTGCTTCAGCTAAAGCATCATGTAAATCATCTTCAAGTTTGGATTTCTCCATGTAAATATCTGAAATTTTCTGTCGAAGTTGAGAAATAATATTCTCACAATTCCTCAATTTTTTATTTAATTCTTTACATTCTTCTTCCTTTTCTCCTATTTTAATTTTATATTCCTCCAATTCTTCCAATAATTTATTTTTTACTTTAAAAATCCCCTCATTTTCATTTTTCAATTTAGCCAAATTAATTAATTCCAATTTTTTATCTTCTTCATATTTTTCAATTTTTAATTTATTTTCTTCAAATTCCTTCAATAATTCCAATTTTTCTTTTAAAATCTTTTCATTTTCTTCTTTTATTTTTCCATATTCTTTTTTAAATTTAGACAGTTGATCCAAAGCTCCATCCGATGTCTTTTTCAAAATTCTAATTTCGTCTTCTTTTTCATATTTATCCAATTCTAAATATTTTATTTTGTTTTGTTGTTGTTGTTGCTGAAATTAATTTTAATTTACAAAAGAAAGAAAAAAATCTTAAATTTATTTGTTACATTTCCATTCGTTTTTTACAATTAATGAAAGGTATAAAATTGAATTTACACGAAACCAGATACATGAAACCTTGTCTTTTCCTCACTCCCGAATGGTGGGGAAATTGGAATTGCTAAATGAGGAACTAGGACAGATTGGAGGACTAACTAGATTATTTATTAAATACCGTTTCGACTTCCATTTCTAATGAAAGAATCTTCTCATCTTTTTTCTGAATTTCTAATTGTTCATTTTTTGACAAAAGTTCTCTCGCCTAAATAATTTAATTTAAACTTGACGGCTGTTATTTCAAAATTTTACTTTAATTTCCTGTTCATAATTCTCTTTATTTTCTTCAATTTCCTTTTCAAGTCGACATATTAAATATTCAGAATCTTCCAATTTTTTGTTTAATTTCAACCAACTTTTTTCCATATTTACCATTTCTAATTTGTCATCTCTCAATTCCTCTAATATTTCTAATTTTTCTTCAAAAATATTTTTATTTTTCTCAATTAATTTTTCAAATTCTTCTTTAATTTTAAGAAATAGATTCACAACTAAATTCCTTTCTTCTTCTAAGTTTAACATTTTATTTTTATACTCATTCAATTTATTTTTATTTTCGAAATGTTCCAATTGCATTTTTTGTAAATTATTTAAAATTTTTTCCTAAAATTATTTTTTTAATTAAATAATCTTTTTTACATTTCCATTCATTTTCTCATTCAATTCTTGTAATTGTTTTATTATTATTTGATTTTCAAATGTTGGATAATTTGCAGCGAAATTTTGTTTTGTTGAGTTAATTGTTAACTATTTACATAAAAATTAATTGTTAAATAAAAAATTAATTATTCTCTGAATACTCTGGAAAATCTTTTATTTTAGAGCATGGGAAAATTTCCCAAAAATGTAACTAAACATAGAAAAAAAAACATAGACCGAGAGAAACCAAGGCAAGATTTTATTCTAAAATCTCAATTATCAAAATTCTAGAACATCAATCGACCCTTAAGTTCAGTTCGAATTTAATCGTGTCCCTCATGATAGGGCCATATTACGCTAGGATATTGTGAAACGGAGAATAAATTAATAACCCTAATTAAATTTAAAAACCCCCTACCAAATCAAGTTTAGCCAAAATTAATTGAAAAGCCAAATTTGTTTTGTCTTTTTCAACCTAAAAAATAAATAAAATAAAAATAATTTTAATTAATTAATTACCTCCAATAATTTTATACGATTTAAAGAATCTTCAAAATTAATAGTAGAACAAGAACATAAAGTACTAACCAAATCATCATCAACACCTTGTAAATTGTCACTCATTTTAAAGAAAACTAATTTTTAAAAACTGCAAAAAATTTTTGGTAAAATTGTAAAGAATTTGCAAAGAAAATCTAATAAATTTGGTAAAATTAACAATAGTCTGTTAAAAATAAACTAAATTTTTATTAAAAATCGTTAATATTTATAGGGAGGGATGAGGTTAAATTGGTAATAGTGTCGTTTCCAGTCCCCATTTTTTCCTCCTCAATTTTTACCCTATGTTTGTACGGAATGGTCAAATTTTCCCCTTTCTACCATCAAATTTTCCTTTCTATATTTTGCCGAAAAACAATTAAAATTGATATTTAAAAAAGTATGAGGTCATTATGTCTCACTTTTTTCATCATCATGTCTCTTTTTTATCCTTGTGAAAGAACTGAATAAAAAATTAATCTTTTTGATTGTTTTTAGGCAAAATATAGAAAGGCAAATTTGATTGGAGAAAGGGGAAGATTTGACCATTCCGTACAAACATAGGGTAGAAAATTGAGGAGGAAAAAATGGGGACTGGAAACGACACTATTACCGTTAAATTCATCTTTTCCCTCTCCTTAATTTCCCGTCAATTCACCTTCAGCAAATAATTAATTTACAAAATTCAAATTTTTATCCTATTTATATTTTCTCAAAAGGATTATATTTTTGAGAGGATTATATTTTTCCCCGATACAAAACTTCATTTGGTTTCTGTGAATCAATGACCGGTTTTGGAATTTTCACAATCGAAAATTGAAAGAATAATTACTTACACGGACTTGCCAAAACACATTACGACCAAAATACAACCAAAAACAGTCCAGAGATATTATAGAATCTGCGTTTTTGTTTTTAAAAATACATACTATTCTGATTTCCAAACAACTAATTATTTCTCTGGACAGTGTTTTGGTCGTTTCGTATTTTGGCATTCCTTGTTTTGCCCCTCACCCAGATTTTCAGAGCTACTCCAAATTGGCTCCGGGTAGAAATCACCGGTTAATATTTGGGTGATTAAAAGGAATATCGAAGAATTGAGTAGATTCTAAGGATATCGAGGTTTAATGAGGATAAGATTGGTTGGATTTATGGTTCTAAACAAAATTATGAAGCTAAATCTTATTGGACTTTTTTATTATGCTACAAATTTTTAAAATAAATGATTATAACTTTGGTAATAGTTAAGTTTGTGTTTCCCCTTTTTTCTTTCGGCTGTAATATAGTGTACCGAGGTAAAAGTTCGGAACGTGGCATGTCATTCGATTCGTCTCGACGAGCTGAGTCAAACGGTATCACTCAAAGTTTCAGGAAATGATTCTGGACCGAGTTATATTATACCAAAATGGACCTTACTCCCCCATGGTTTTTAAATATTTCGGGACCTATGACTCGGTCCAGAATCATTTCCTGAAACTGTGAGTGGCACTGTTCGACTCAGCTCGTCGAGACGAATCGAATGACATATGTCACGTCCCGAACTTTTACCTCGGTACACTACACTACAGCCGAAAGGAGAAAAAGGGGAAACACAAACTTAACTATTACCAAAAATTTTTTTATTCAAGTCGGATCTTCTTGATTGTAGTGCCATTTGACTCGGCTTGAAAGCTATTCCGAGCGATATATACTTAAACATAAAAATAAGAGAAATGAAAATAGAAAAGGAATAAAAATGGGAAAGTTAGCCAAAGTATTATTTGATTTCCCTATTTTAGCGCTGCATGTGGGAAGCTTGGAAGGTCAAGCGACAGATTCCTTGATCGAATTCCAAAAATTTGAAGATTTCAACATATCTAATCATCTAATCAAAAGACTTTAACTGAGAGAGTGATTAATTGATAAATCGAGAGTGATCAGCCGAGAGTGGTCAATGTATCAATCGAAATGGTTATTATATGATTAGAACATAGAATTGGACTCAGTTTATACATGTTATTAAAATAGAATAAAATTTAGATTAATTTTTTTATTTAAAATGTTTTTAAAAATCAAATCAAAAAAATAAATAAACAATAGAAACAATCCATCATTCAGATGATATAATCAAGATTATATTTAAAAGGATTAGATACAAGATCATCTCCAAAATTAGTTTCCACCGAACAAGACAAAAGTCCAATATATGGATATAAATTAACATTATGATTTCCGAGTAAGATTCTTTTACCTAAATTAATTCGATTAAAGCTTAATTTAAATATAAACATTCACCAATTTTATTTCCATTTTTAGTAAAAAATACATAGGTCTTTGTTTTCAAATCTTTCCTTGGAGGAAAAACAATTCCACAACCAAAAACATCTCCATCTACCCATTCAAATTTTTGAAGATTTCCCCAAGTATTCGAATAATTACACAAAAATATTTTCGTATTCGAAACATCAACACCAATACTTGCATAACAACTAAAAAATTGTTTTTTTAGGTTACCCATCCATCCCCTTTTTTCTCCCTTGATTAAAGTGTAAATAATTACATGTTTGAATTTAATTCTTTATATATAGTTACTTCATAATAAAATGAAGAATAAATATTTCCATAATTAGATGGTTTTAAATACGGATCTTGTCCAGACAAACAAATCCATTTATTTTCCTTAACAATCCCATCTTCATCCTTTTGTTTAGTATTTCTATATTTAATCATTCCATTTTTGTAAACATTAACATATCCATTTCCTTTTTTACAGCAACCAGCAGATAAATCAGAATTAATACATTTATTTTTACAACAAGTATCGTTAACCCAAGTCATTTTATTAAGTTTATTCACAAATATCTGAAAATAGTTTGAAAATTTAGTACTTTTCTGTTATGGGGCTACACATTTAAAATGGCTAAAAATGTACTAAAAATTAGAGTCCGGCAAAATCGCATTCCCGGGATCCCGGAACGGGATTTTTTTTCAAAATTTTGTACGGGACGGGATCCCGCGGGATTAATCCCGTAAATCCCGTAATCCCGGTAATCCCGTTCTCAAATTTCCCGGGATCCCGCCGGGATTCCGGGATTTTCACAAAAAAATTTTTAAATTAAAAATAAGTTGAATATTGGCGGATTTTGGGTCAATATCGGTTGATTTCGATGGATTAAGGGAGGAATGAATAGATATAAGAGTATTAAGATGGATATCAGTGGATTAAGAGGGATTAAGAGGATTTGAATGCTTTTAGGTGGATTTAAGGTGATATCGGTATACTTGGAGTGGTAAAGGGTGATTTGAAGAACGGTGGGTTAGATCGAATATAGCGGATTTAAGGCTCAACTGGATTTGAATGGATATTTGGGGATTATTCCTTTAATCCCTCAATATACTCTTAATGCTCAGATCCTCGATATACCTCTTAATCCATAAATCCCTGATACCCCCTATTATCCTCCAAATCCCTCTTAATCTGGTGTTAATCCCAAATTCATGATATCCTTTTCCAATACTCCAACATCATATATCTCTTAATCCTCCGGAATTGAACTTAGGACGATTTAAACCTTACAAACCAACGTACACCTCACAATCACTCTATATCTCTGTTAATCCCAAAGATCCATTCTTATTACTCGTAATCCATCCACCACAGGCAAAACTTCTCGAATTTTTCTTTTCTTTGGAAGGCTAAGAAGCCAGCTTTTTTCATTTTTTAGCGCCGCAGGCGAAAATTTTGAGAATTTTTGAAGAGCAAATCACCAAATATCTTCCTTTTTCAGCGCCGCAGGCGAAAATTTTGAGAATTTTGGACGGCCAAGAAGCCAGATTTCTTCCTTTTTCAGCTCCGCAGGCAGTTTACTGGAGTAATTATAAATCCCGTAAATTTGAAAAAAATTTCCGGGATCCCGGAACGGGATTGGGTTTTCAAAATTCGACCGGGACGGGATCCCGCGGGATTAATCCCGTAAATCCCGGAATCCCGGTAATCCCGTTTTCCGCGAAAAACCCGGGATTCCGGGACGGGATCCCGTAAAATCCCGTACGGGGTCCCGTCCCGTGCCGGTCTCTACTAAAAATGTAAAATCTTAAGAGAATACGTAAGTCCGACAATAGGCAAAAACTAAAATAAATATTTTCCGTCATTAAATATTTTCCGTGTCTGCATAAAATCAACGATTCTGACCTGTATGGACAAAGTTATGTTTGGACAAATTTAATCAACTGCAGCGGAAAGAAAGTTAAAATTTTAATCAAAATGATCGAAGAGCTCTTTCAAATGATATATAATAAATTATATATCAAGCAGAAAAGCTCATAATGGTCAGGGAAGTGGAAAAAAGGGCGACTTTCAAACTATTACCCGCAAAAGTACTAAAAATTTTAATTTACAACGTTAAAATTCTTACAATATGTTTGACATTTTCTTTGTTTAATTGAATCCATTCTGAGGTTATTATCTGTTCATCTTGATCATCTTCCACAAAATCTTCAATTTCCTAAAATTAATATTATACATATCCTTTATCTTTTTTATTTTTAATATATATATATGTATGTCTGACTGATTGATACTCTTCATTATATTTAAAAAATTTAATGTGCTACTAAAAACATTAAAAATTTACTTCTTCTCCATAAATCTCCTTATTCTTTAAATTTTCTATTCGAAGTTGAGAAATAATATTTTCAGAATCTCTCAATTTTTTGGTTAATTTCTTATTTTCTTCTTCCATTTTTGTCATTTTAATTTTATATTCTTCAAATTCTTTTAATAATTCAATTTTTCCCTCAAAAATCTTTTCATTTTCCTCTTTTAATTTTTCAAATTCTTCTTTAATTTTAAAAAATTCATTAAAAGCTTCTTCCAATTTTAATATTTTATTTTCATAATCATTTTTATTTTCTTCCAAATTTTCCTTCAAAATTTTAATTTCCTCCTCTTTTTTCAATTTATCCGATTCCAAATATTTTATTTTCTCTTCATGTTGTTTTTGCTAAAATTAATTTTTAATTTTTAAAAGATCAAAAAAATTTCTTAAAAGGTTGAACAAATGATGATAAAATAATTAGAAAGTGATATTATAATTCTTAATTTATCTACTAGTATAGTTAAAACCCCCTACCAAATCAAGTTTAGCCAAAATTAATTGAAAAGCCAAATTTGTTTTGTCTTTTTCAACCTAAAAAACAAAATAAAATAAAAATAATTTTAATTAATTACCTCCAATAATTTTATACGATTTAAAGAATCTTCAAAAGTTGAAGTAGAACATAAATTACTAGACAAATCATCATTAGAATTTTCTATACGTTCACTCATTTTAACTAAAATAATTTTTAAAATTAGGAAAAATTTTTCGTTAAAACTGTAACGAATTTAGAGAGAAATATGTATTTTCAAAAATTTTATAACACCCTAATCTTTAAAATTGTATTTATAGGTTATAGGGACTAAATAAATAATTTTTCTTCCTCTTCCTTAATTCAACATCTATTTAATTTCCTCTAGAAACACATTTTTTCTCAAAAGATTATTTTAGAAAAGTTTTTAAAAATTGTTGAGTATGATGTCGTTTTTTACTTAAAATTTGAATTTTTAGCCTGGAGCTAACTGTGCATAACAAAAATCGGAGCTTATTTACTTTAACTACCCACCCCGAAATTTTACCGGATATACTTTGTATATGGACAATTTATATATCATTCGAAAGAGCTCGCCGAGCTGCATCGAAAGATACCAAAATCAGCCCGCGGTCTCAAGTTTGAGCTGAGACAAATGGGCTCAAAATGGTCAGAGCAACCCTTGTGTAAAACCCGCGTTTTGCGAGGGTTTCTCTGCACGCGCTTAGTGGGGAGCTAAAGGTAACTGAGTTCCACACCAGTAACATAAACCTATACCTTTTTGCCGATTTTCAGCCTTGAAATTCGGACCTACCCCCCTATCCACACAAAAGCAGTTATTCCAGCGAAAATTTAGTTCCTCGTAATTTTGTTCAAAATCATCAAAAGAAGCTGATTTTGTCACCATTCGACTCAGCTCGGTGAGCTCTTTCGATTGACATATATATTGTCCAAATCTAATTGAAAAATCCCCCGATAAAATTTCGGGGTGGGTAGTTAAAGTAAATAAGTTCCCAAAAATCTGCCAATACTAAACTTTTTCGAATCAATTCTATATCCATAATAAGGTAGTCAGTCTACTAGTTAAACCAAAAATACAAATTTACAATCATCAGGGGCTAACTGACAAGTGACTACTCAAGTTTTGAGGACTCCGAAACTTGGGGATATTAAAAATAACTTTTAATGGGATCATCACTCGAATTTTTTAAATTTTCACACATTTTAAAAAAGTAAACTAATTTTTAAAAACTAAAAAATTTTTTACAAAATGTATAAAATTTTTATGGAAGTATACTAGTAAATTTGATAAATTAAAAAACGTTCAAAATAAACTAATTTTTATTATAAAAAATTAATATTTATAGGGAAGAATGAGGTTAAATTCATTTTTCCCTCCTCTTAACTCCCCGTCAATTCACCTTCAGCAAATATAATTCAAATACATAATTAAGTTAAAAATCCGAAAATTTTTATCGGCAGGCAATATGTATTTTATTTTTTCAAAAGGATTATTTTAGGAGAAAAAAAAATTTGCCTTTAAACTAGGGTTAGATATTACGGGGCGTGTGCTGAGTTTACAAAGAACAGGGGTAGAGGGGAATTCGAGTTCGGGGTTCGAGTTTTTTCGAGTTAGAGTTTTTAAAAACTGATAAGAGATGAAAGAACTGGCTAAGTTTATTTTAAATTGTTCTAACATTTATTGAAAATGTAATAAAATTAAAATAAAAAATAATCGTGTTTCTTAAAACCAACTCAAAAAATAAATAAATTATAAATAAATAAAAAACAATCATTCAAATGATATAATCAAAATTATATTTAAAAGGATTGGATTCAAGATCGTTTCCAAAATTCGTTTCAACTGAACAAGATAAAAGTCCAATTAATGGATATAAATTAATGTTATCATCTTCAAGTAAAATTCTATTTCCTTAAATTTAAAAAATGTAGTTGAAAATTTGTAAAAAAATATTCGAAGAAAGTATATTTAAAAACTGTTAACTCAAGTTGCTGAAAAACTCAATATTAGTACTTGTGGGGAGTACAGTTTGGGAGTATAACATGTATCGTTAGCAATTAGGTCTCCATAGTGGCAACTGGTTCAGCAATAATAAAATCTATAACAAGGAGATTTTTAACACAATAGTTAAGTTAATCTATTGCTGGTCTGAGTTACTTTAAATTCCTTAACGAGGGAGAAGTACCCTCAACTTTTTTTTTAATTTTAAATTTTCTCCTCACCAATTTTATTTCCATTTTTAGTAAAAAATACATAAGCCTTTGTTTTCAAATCATTTTTTGGAGGGAAAACAATTCCACAACCAAAAACATCTCCATCTACCCATTCAAATTTTTGATTATGTTTCCAAGTCGTCGTCGAATAATTACACAAAAACATTCTTTCTTCTAAACCAACAAAACCAACACCAGCATAACAACTAGAATTTTCATTAATTTATTAAAAGTTATTAGATTTTTAGTCTTTTGATTAAATTTAATTTTTTTATTTATTTAAATTAATTACATTTCTGAATTCAATTCTTTATATATAGTCACTTCAAAATAAAATACAGAATAAATATTTCCAGAATTAGTTGGTTTAACATATGGATATTGCCCATATACACAAATCCAATCATTTTCTCTTTCAACACCAAATTCATCCGGCAATTTATTTCTATATTTAATCATTCCATTTTTGTAAACATTAACATATCCATTTCCTTCTTTACATTTATTTGAAGACAAATTATCAGAATTACTAATACATTTATTTTCACAACAAGAATTTTTATTCGAAATTATATTTATTTCATTAGGTTTATCCACAAATATCTGTAAAAATAATTTCGAAATTTTAATTTAATTTATTTAAATTTTTACAATATGTTTAACATTTTCTTTGTTTAGTTGATCCAATTCAGAGGTTAATTCAACAATTTTATCATTAGAGGAAGTCTTTGATTTTTCAATCTTAAAAAACTTAAATTATTCAATAATTATATTCAATTGTATAGGTTAAAATTAAAATGTTGAGGATAGGGAGAAGTAATTGTCACGGGTTACCCGAAACCCAATATATGAAATCTTGACTTTTTCTAAACTCGAGACATCAATGATAGGAAAGATAAAATATTTTATAAGTAGATCTAAGACATACTAAAGATAGACTATATTACCGTAGTTTCTCTAAAATACCCCCCCCCCTCTAGAGGTAGATCAAAAAAATAACCCCCGGGGGTTATTTTAGAGAAAATACGGTATTAATTAAATACCTCTTTAACTTCCATTTCTAATGAACGAATTTTCTCATCTTTTTTCTGAATTTCTAATTGTAATTGTGCGCTTCTTGTCAAAATTACATCCGTCTAAATACATAAATATTAAAAAATCAAATTTAAAATAATTACAAACATTTTCATTTCCTTCATAGCTAGCCTCGCTAAAATCAAAATTACGTTCATTAAAAATTTTATTTGGTTCTAAATCTTCCGCCAAATCTTTAATTTCCTAAAATTAATATTTTTATTTTATAACCCTTTTTATGTTTTTAAAATTAAAAAAAATATCCAGATATTATTTCACAAAATACAAAAAAATTATTTTTAAGAAAATTTTACTTTAATTTCCTGTTCATATTTCTCCTTATTTTCTTCAATTTCCTGTCGAAGTTGGAATATTAAATTTTCAGAATTGTTCAATTTTTTATTTAATTTCTTATTTTCTTCTTCAACTTCTTCCATTTCAAGTTTATTCTTTTTCAATTGTATTAATAATCCAGCTTTTTCTTCTAAAATATCTTCATATCCATCTCTTAATGATTCAAATTCTCTTTCAAGTACAGACAATTCATTTACAGCTGAATCCCGTTCCTCTTCCAATTTTGCCATTTTATTCTTGTATTCATCCAATTCATTTTTATTTTCTTCCAAATTTTCATTCAAAATTTTAATTTCCTCTTCTTTTTCCAATTTACTCAATTCCAAGCTTTTAATTTCCCCTTTTTGTTTTTCAACTTCAATTTCCAATTTATTTTTATTTTCAAAACATTCAAAGTGCATTTTTTGTAAAGAATTTAAAATTTTTTCCTGAAATTTTTAAATCAAAAAATTAAATTTAAATCATTTTTTACATTTCCACTCATTTTCTCATTCAATTCTAGTAATTGTTTAATTATTGTCTGATTTTGACATAATCCCTGTTCTTGAAGATAAACATTATTTGCAGAGAAATTTTGTTTTGTTGAGTTAATTGTTAACTATTTAAATGAAAAATTTTATTTGTTTGATAAAGGAGATTGTTTGGTTTAATTATTATGCGGGTCTTGAAAATATCTCAAAAACAAATTTATTAGGAATAATTAAAAATTAGATTGAATGTGAAACTATAATTATTGATTTATTTGCATCGTTGTCCAATAATCTAACCCTAATTAAAAAAACCCCCTACCAAATCAAGTTTAGCCAAAATTAATTGAAAAGCCAAATTTGTTTTGTCTTTTTCAACCTAAAAAAAATAAATAAAATAAAAATAATTTTAATTAATTAATTACCTCCAATAATTTTATACGATTTAAAGAATCTTCAAAAGTTGAAGTAGAACAAGAACATATAGAGGTAGATAAATCATTGTTAGAATTTTGTAGGTTTTCACTCATTTTAATGAAAAATAATTTTTAAAAACTAAAAAAATCTTGTTAAAATTGCAATAATTTATGAGGAAATATTTTTTTAATTGATAAAAATGTTAAAGAATAATATATAAAATATTAACTAATTTTTTCTAACCGAAAAATCTAATATTTATATTAAGAAAGGAGTTAATAAATATACTACTTTATTTTTTTTTCTCCCCGTCTCTAATTCCCTCCGTCAACTTAGCCCCAACAAATAATTCAATTACAAAATTTCAGATTTGTAGGTTATATTTATTTTTATTTTCTCAAGAGGATTATTTTGGAGAGAAGAAAGTTTAAAAAATTTTTGAAGGATGATATTAATTCTATTCCAAAATTTGAAACTAAACTTTACCTTGATTCCCATTCCGAGATCAACACAGAAGGTCAAAACCCTATTGATCAAATTACCCGGGAGGTCAAATTCAAATATTTGGGAACCTCTAGTTGATCGTCCCACTCTAATAAATGCCCCTTTGGAATGTGATGGAGAAATAAAATGCTCAGTCATTCTATTAAAGGAAATACGGTAGTTCAATATACGTACTAAAAAATTTAAATTTTATTCTAATAATTCATAAATTTCCATGAAAACAGCAATTTTTTGAAAAAATCAAATTTACAAAAATAATCAAAAATTAAAATCTTTAAATAATATGATTGTTAAAATTGTAAACAAAAGGCTTTGTCAAAAGATTACTTCCAAAATTTGTTTCCACCGAACAAGACAAAAGTCCAATAAATGGATATAAATTATTATCCTCTGCGAATAAAATGTCCAACAAAGTAAAAATGTCCAACAAAGTAAAAATAAACAATTTAACGAACTAAAAATCAATAATGGGACTAGGCACTGATTTTTTCCAATTTTGGACTGATTTTTTTAGATTTTGCACTGATTTTTAGGCAAAATTTCGAAAAAAATCGCTAAAAAGGCAAAAATAGTACCAAAAAATTCAAAATAGGCAAGAAGGCACAAAAATTCCAAAATAGGCAGAAATAGGCAAATTAAAAGTCGTGCTAGACTCTTCGGACTAAGCTAAAAACACGTTTTTTGAACGTATTACATCATCCCAAGCTTGCAGAAAAAATAGGCATTTGCCTATAAATCACAGCCTTAGTAATCATTTACATTATAAAATTTGATTTATTTTCAAATCAAACAAAAACAACAAAAGACAAAATTAATAAATCAATCATTCAAATAATATAGTCAAAATTATATTTAAAAGGATTTGATTCTAAATCATCTCCAAAATTAGTTTCCACCGAACAAGACAAAAGTCCAATTAATGGATATAAATTAACATTATTATCTTTAAGTAAAATTCTTTTACCTAAAAATTAAGAAAATAAAGTTAAAAAATTGGCACGCGGACATATGTATCGGGACGGACATATCGGGATATTTCAATGTAAGAACAGTTACCCTACTGATTTCGGGACCTACGGCCACTGGGTCTTGGATAGTATATTGTCCTATTGGGAACAGTTTTTATGTGTTAGAACAAACGTAAAACCGCAAGAAATTATTTTTGTCACACCAATCCCGATATTCTATTCTATCAAAGCTTAATTTAAATATAAACGTTCACCAATTTTATCTCCATTTTTAGTAAAAAATACATAAGCCTTTGTCTTCAAATCATTCTTTGGAGGGAAAACAATTCCACAACCAAAAACATCTCCATCTTCCCATTCAAATTTTTGATAATCTCCCCAATTAGTGGTACTATTACACAAAAATATTATTGTATCGACAATACCAAAGCCAATACCCGCATAACAACTAAAAATTAGTTTGACTAATTTATAAAAATCATTATTAAAATCAAGAGCTCTATCAACAAGATTTATGCAAAATAACGACCATTAGTTCTAAAATTAGAGCTGGGTGGGTACTTACATATCTCCTTAATAATTTAATAGAATGTTACTTTGATCATGTGTGCTTTTTGTGGAGGAACGAAATACTAAAGAATGGGGGGGGGGGTAAAGCAAGAGTACCGGTTAAAATTAACTTTTATTTAAATAATTACATTTTTGAATTTAATTCTTTGTATATAGTCACTTCATAATAAAATAAAGAATAAATATTTCCAGAATTAGTTGGTTTGGAATATGGATATTGTCCGTATACCCAAATCCATTTATTTTCTCTCACAACCCCAACTTCATCCAACAATTTATTTCTATATTTAATCATTCCATTTTTGTAAACATTAACATATCCATTCCCTTTTTTACATTTATTTGAAGATAAATTAGAATTAATACATTTATTTTCGCAACATGTATTTTTATTAAGAATTATATCTATTCTATTAGGTTTATTCACAAATACCTGAAAATAGTTTGAAAATTTTGTACTTTTCTATTATGGGGCTAAAAATTTAAAATATCTAAAAATGTCCTAATATTAAGAGAATATGTGCGAATATGCGCAAAAATTTTAAAAATTTCCCAGTCCGTTCAATCTATTTGCATAAATTATACTGATCAGGAGGAAGGATTATCTGATTTTTCAAAATAGATTATTACTTGTATTTTACATTTTCAGGATATTTTAAATATATTAAATGACTGTAAATTTTTAAAATTTTTGCACATTTTTGTTATTTCGAGTTTTCTGACGTTTTTACCCTTTCAAGCCCACATAATTAAATGTCATTTGACTCAGATCGACGAGCTCTTTTGAATGCATAATTTGTCAATATTTTTGTCAATATTTGTGACATTTTAACTGCATGGCCTCATAACGGGAGAATAATAGTTTGGAAGTCGGCCCCATTTTTTCTTTCAATTTTTTTGTATTTTTTTCTCATTTATGGCAAATTATACATATATCATTCGAAAGAGCTCATAATGGTCGGGGAAGCGGGGGAAGCCTCCGGAAAAGTACCAAAAATTTTAATTTACAACGTTAAAATTCTTACAATATGTTTGACATTTTTGTTTAATCGAATAAATTTTTGTTCATCTCGATCTTCCGCCAAATCTTCAATTTCCTAAAATAAATATTATCTAACTGCTCATTAAAAATTTTTAAAACATTAAAAATTTACTTCTTCTTCTTCATCTTCTTCTTCTTCTTCATGTATCTCCTTATTCTTTAAATTTTCTTTTCGGAGTTGAGAAATAATATTTTCAGAATCCTTCAATTTTTTGGTTAATTTCTTATTTTCTTCTTCCATTTTTGTCATTTTAATTTTATATTTTTCAAATTCTTTTAATAATTCAATTTTTCCCTCAAAAATCTTTTCATTCTCCTCTTTTAATTTTTCAAATTCTTCTTTAATTTTAAAAAATTCATTCAAAGCTTCCCCCAGTTTTAATATTTTATTTTCATAATCATTTTTATTTTCTTCCAAATTTTCCTTCAAAATTTTAATTTCCTCTTCTTTTTTCAATTTATCCGATTCTAAATATTTTATTTTTTCTTCATGTTGTTTTTGCTATAATTATTTTTTAAAATTTTTTTATAAAAAATTAAAAATGATATCGAAATTTATTTTTTTTGAAAATAAAATAATTTTAATTATTCAAAAAATCTAATTAAAATAATGATAAGATTAGATAAAAATTGGCCTATAATTCGTATTTTACTTTTATAATAATTAGGGATCGGATTTTAACTATCTCTATTTTTACGATCTATTTGCCTATTTTTGTCACCTATTTTAGCATTTTATGCAACCTATTTATGTGTTTTTGCTGAAATTATTTTTTAAATTTTTTATAAAAAATTTAAAATGATATTTATAAATAAATTTTTTTTTGAAAATAAAATAATTTTGTCTTTTTCAACCAAAAAAATAAATATGTAATAAAATTTAGGTGCCTATTTTATCGTTTTTACGACCTAAAAATCCGATCCCTAATAATAATAGTCATCATAACCTCCCCTAATTTAAAACTCCCTACCAAATCAAGTTTAGCCAAAATTAATTGAAAAGCCAAATTTGTTTTGTCTTTTTCAACCTACAAAATAAATATGTAAAATAAATGGTAATACATATGTATGTAGTTCGGATTATTCCCCCTATTTTCTCTTGTTTCCCTTTGCGGCATCTGTTTTCTTTTCACGGCAAATTATAATCGTTTGAAAGAGCTCTTCGAGCTGAGTCGTATGGCACTAAAACCAACGAGATCTGACTTAAATCAACGTAGGAGCTTATAAATTCTCTAAGAGCTTATAAATTTTCTTCTCTTTTCCTCATAAAATATTTAGGGAAAAGAGAAAATGGGGCGGATTAAAACGATATAAGTAATCTTAATTAATTACCTCCAATAATTTTATACGATTTAAAGAATCTTCACCAATTAAATTGGTAGTAGAACAAGAACATAGAGAGGTAGATAAATCATTATTGGAATTTTGTTGATTTTCACTCATTTTACTAATTAATAAAAACTAAAAAATTTAAAAATTGTATATCCAAATATTTAATATAAATATTAAAATAAATTTAATTCTTGATATTTTTTAATAATTTATAAATTTAAATAAATTTTTTGGCCAAATCAAAAAGAAAAATAAATATCAATCAAAAAATTCAATTCAAAATAAATTCTCTTCAAATAATATAATTGTTAAGATTGTAAATAAAAGGATTCGATTCGAGATCATTCCCAAAATTAGTTTCCACCGAACAAGACAAAAGTCCAATAAATGGATATAAGTTAATGTTATCTTCTTCAAGAAAGATTTTATTACCTTAAATTTGAAAAATTGGAATAGGAGTCAGAAAAAAATTTTTTTGATTTGGAATTAAAAAAATGTTTTGTTTTTTTTTTGAACAAAAATTAAATTTTCTCCTCACCAATTTTATCTCCATTTTTAGTAAAAAATACATAAGCCTTTTTAATCAAATCATTCTTTGGAGGAAAAACAATTCCACAACCAAAAACATCTCCATCTACCCATCCAAATTTTTGATAATTTCCCCAAGTATTTGAATAATTACACAAAAATATTTTTGCATTCGGAACATCAAGACCAATACCAGCATAACAACTAAAAAATTATTTATAGATTTTTTAAATTAAAAATAAAAGCGGGTTAATTAATGGTAAAATTGGAACTTTAAATTAGGCGTGAAATACATACAATCTTAAAGTCAAAAGCTAACACAAAAATAAAATAAAAATGTTAGACGAAATGTCCGCAACCCCCAATCTCGAATAAAACCCTTAGTAAAGCCCAATTTTACTAACATTGACATGGACTCTAATAAACATGCTTGGACACAGGGCCTTCCCCAGGACCAGGCCAATTACATCTACGCCTACTTAAAATTACTTAAAATTAATTTTTATTTAAATATAATTACATTTTTGAATTAAATCCTTTAGATATTTTCACTTCAAAATAAAATAAAGAATAATCATTCCCATAACTTCCAGCTTTTGTATATGGATGCTGTCCATATAAACAAATCCATTTATTATCCCTAACAACTCCAAACCCATCCAACTCTTTATTTTTATAATCTATCCACCCTTTGCAATAATCTTCGTAAACATTAACATATCCATTCCCTTTAAAGCAATAACCATCAAATAAATTAGAATTGATACACTTTTTTTCGCAACAAGAATCTTTTTCAATTGTGCATATTTTATTTGGTCTTTTAACGTAAAACTGAAAAAAATAATTAAAAAAATAATTATAAAAAACCCTTACAATATATTTATCATTTTCTTTATCTAATTTATCCAATTCCTTTTTAACAGAATCATTAAAATTTTTCCACTTAAAAACAATTAAATTAATTATTTATATAAAGGACAGTGAGGGTAAAACAAATGTGAGAGATAAACATTAAAGGAGGATAACTCCCCGTACAAGTTTCTCCCAGAAATTGTTAGAGGGCAATTCAAGCTCTGAAATTTTTTTTTCGATTTCAATTACTGACACTATCCATATCCGTCCGTATCCGGATATATCCGCGGATATCCGGATATTATCCGTATCCATGACCAGGTCTGGTTATGACACAATTTATGATACAAGACATTTTAATTAAAATTATTCTTTAAAAATACCGTTTCAACTTCCTTTTCAAATGTCCGAATTTTCTCATCTTTTAATTTAATTTTTGCAACAAAATCTTTATTTTCTATTTGTAATTGTTCAATTTTTGTTAAAAGTTCTTTAGCCTTTAAATATTTAAATTAATTAAATTAATTAGGAAAAACTGCTACTTTTTTCTCTGCTTCGTATTCATTCTTATTAAAAGCATCATTACGTTCAGTTAAAGTTTTAATTTGTTTAGCTCGATTTTCTGCCAAATCTTTAACTTGCTAAAATTAATAATTAAAATAATTCTTTTCTCAAAATAAAATAAATTTGCCTTAATTTCTTGTTTATAATTCTTCTTATTTTGTGAAATTTCTTGTCGAAGTTGACAAATAATATTTTCAGAAATTTCTGATTTTTTGGTTAATTTTTTGTTATCTTCTTCCGTTTTAGTTAAATTCGATTTATTTACTTCTTCAATTTTAGTCATTTTAATTTTATATTCTTTAAATTCCTTTAATAACTGAGTTTTTTCCTTAGAAATCTCTTCGTTCTGATTTTTCAATTTAGCCAAATTAATTAATACCAATTTTTTATCTTCTTCATATTTTTCAATTTTTAATTTATTTTCTTCCAATTCTTTTAATAATCCCAATTTTTCTTTAAAAATCTTTTCATTTTCTTCTTTTGATTTTTCAAAATTTTCTTTAATTTTAGACAGTTGATCAAAAGCCAAAACACGTTCTTCTTCCAATTTTAACATTTTATTCTTATATTCATTCAATTCATTTTTCTTTTCTTCCAAATTTTCTTTCAAAATTTTAATTTCCTCTTCTTGTTTTTCAACTTCAATTTTCAATTTATTTTTATTTTCAGAACATTCTAATTGCATTTTTTGTAAATTATTTAAAATTGTTTCCTAAAATTATTTTTTAAATTTAAAAAATTATTATTTTTTACATTTCCACTCATTTTCTCATTCAATTCTTGTAATTGTTTAATTAATGTATGATTTTCAAATGTTGGATAATTTGAAGAGACATTCTGTTTGGTCGAGTTAACTGTTAACTATTTAAATGAAAATTGATTTAATTGTTAGACGAAGAAGATTAATTATTTCTTTGAAGGTTGTGGAAAAGTTATATAATTTAGAGAATGAAAAATCCCAAAAAAGTATTTAACTCTCAATATAATATAGAGATAGGACCAGCGAGAGATTTCTAAAATCTAGAATAGCTAGATTTTAGTTATCAATCGACCCTCAAGTTCGGTTTTTAATTTAAACCACCCAGTGTCTTTTGATGATAGGGGTCAATTATAGGCAAATCAAAGAATAAAGGGAAATTGTTATTTTTAATTATATGGACTTGAAATATCTCAAAAACAAATTTATTAGAGAGAATTAAAAATTAGTTGAAGGTGAGATTACTCTTTGTCAAATAATCTTTCCGTTGATTTAAAAACCCCCTACCAAATCAAGTTTAGCCAGGATTAATTGAAAAGCCAAATTTGTTTTGTCTTTTTCAACCTAAAAAATAAATAAAATAATAATAATTTTAATTAATTAATTACCTCCAATAATTTTATACGATTTAAAGAATCTTCAAAAGTTGAAGTAGAACAAGAACATAAAGTACTTGCCAAATCATCATTAACACCCTGTAAATTTTCACTCATTCTAAAGAAAACTAATTTTAAAAACTGAAAAAATTAAAGAATTTCAAATTCAAATATTTAATATTAGATATTGACTAACATTTAATTTTTGTTGTTTTTAATTAGAAATATTTATTAATTTAAACAAAAAAATATTTTTTTTTAATTTTAAAACAAATAGTCAAACAAAAAAAATCCTAAATCAATTCTCCTCAAATATAATGATTGGTAACATTATAAATAAAAGGATTTGATTCGAGATCATTTCCAAAATTAGTTTCCACCGAACAAGACAAAAGTCCAATAAATGGATATAAATTAACATTATCATTTTTAAGTAAAATATTGTTACCTAAAAATTAAAAAAAAAAATTAAAAATATTGGCTCTACTTTAGGACATGCGTTCCATGAGTCCTTTTTACATCCCATGAACTTTATACGTCCCACAAGTCAAAGATCCACGATGTCACGCATCGTGGATCTTTGACTCCACGTCCTTTCCATGCGTGGAGTCAACGTCCCTCCCATGTCCCTTCCATGTCTCGTTTGCGAATTACTCATAATGCATTTAATTGTCATTTGAAAGATTTATAAAAGTTAAGCACTAATGATTTTTGTGACGATATTTTTGATGAGACGCCTATATGATGTGACTCATAAATATTCATAGGAAGCATAAATGTTCAAGTGATTCAAGTACTAAAGTAGAGCCAAAATATTTGAAGGAAGGGCAGCTTATGAAAATGATCAATCTAGGCTGGGAATTTTGTAGTTTTTCATTGTAGAATGCAGCAAGTCTTTTTCATTTTTAAGAGACTCATTGAATGATGGGAATGAAAAGGTAAGCCCGAAGGAATCCAAAGTCCTTATTCAAAACAGAAATTTAATTTTCTCCTTACCAATTTTCTTTCCATTTTTCGTAAAAAATACATAAGCCTTTGCTTTCAAATCATTCTTTGGAGGAAAAACAATGCCAAAACCAAAAACATCTCCATCTACCCATTCAAATTTTTGAAGATTTCCCCAAGTATTCGAATAATTACATAAAAATATTTTTGCATCGAGAACATCAAAGCCAATACCCGCATAACAACTGTAAAAAAATATTTTTATTAAAATTATATATGTAAGATAAGAGGGACGGTTAGTCTTATTCAATTGAAACTTAAAAATGGTTGAACCAAGTCAAGACCTATAATCTTCAATTAATTTAACAGATATTTTAAGTCATTTTTTTGATACTTATTGCGATATATCGCTTAAAGGCTAAAGAAATTAGCCAGTTAAAATAAATTCTTTATTTAATTACATTTCTGAATTTAATTCTTTAAATATTTTCACTTCAAAATAAAATAAAGTATAATCACTGCCATAACTCGCTGCTTTTGTATATGGATGTTGGGCATATAAATAAATCCAGTTATTACTTTTTCCATCAGACAATTTATTGTTATATTTAATCAGCCCATATTTAACTTCATTTGGGTAACGTGTCGAATCCCCAAAAACATTAACATATCCATTTCCATTTTTGCAAACTCCACCGGATATATTAGAATTAATACATTTATTTTCACAACAAGAAAAGGTTTGTATTGAATTTATTTGATTTGATCTACTCATAAAAACAACACGTTGTTTGACATTTACTTTATTTAATTTATCCAATTCTGATGTTAATTTGCCAATTCTAATATTGAGGGAGGTGACTGTTTTTTCAAACTTAAAATATTAAATTAAATGTATATTCTATAATCCTTAAATAAAATATTAGAGTGATTACCCGAGAGAAAACCCACAAAAAATTTTTTTGTGGTAGTGTCCAGTGGTTGCAATTTTGAAATTTGCTCGTACTCGTACTTCGTACCAGGGTTGCCGCCCGAAACCCGAAACCCGATACCCGAAACCCGGCCTTTTTTTGTACCCGAAACCCGATACCCGAATTGAAAATTTTCCAACCCGAAACCCGAAACCCGTACCCGATATTTTTTCCAACCCGAAACCCGTGACCCGAAATTGGTTAAAACCCGAAATTTCTACCCGAAAACTTAGCCTTACCCGATTTTTTAAAATAAATTTAAAAAATTAGAAAGAGATATTTATTTATAATTTCTTCTATTTTTATTATGTTGGGCGGTGGTTGAGTGGGTAAGGCGACTGGCTCAATATTTTCAAAGGAGTGAGTTCGATTCTAGGGTTGGAAATGAGACTTGAATAAGTTTTTTTCAAGAATAAATGTTTTTAAACTTGATTTTTAATTTAGATTTTTAATTTTTTTTAATATTTTAATCTTGAAAAACCATAAAAAATTGTAATTTAGTCATGAATTTTGCAAAATTTTCGCCTGCGGCGCATAAAATTAATAGTTCCGGCTTCATGATCAACTAAACTTCAATAAAAATTTTTTGCCTGCGGTTCTGATAATTGAATTTTTCTCCTAAGGCCTTCTAAAATTTTCACAATTTTCGCCTGCGGCGCAAAAAATGGAAGAAGTTTGGCTTCTTGGTTTTCCAAACTTCTCAAAATTTTCGCCTGCGGCGCTGAAAATGGGAGAAAATTAGATGCTTTAATGAAGATAAAGCGGAGGGATTTAGTATATAGTGGGATTTTACCAATAAATTCGGATTTTACGAAGATATCCCTCTAAATCCCCAAATCCCACAATGTCTCTTTAATCTCTTCAAATTTGCCTCTCTCTATATCACCCTATATCCTAGTAAGCAACACAGCTTGTCGCCTTACAATTTAGTTCAACAATACCCGAACACCCGAAAATAACCCGAATTTTTCGCCAAACCCGAAACCCGTACCCGAAATTTTTGCCAACCCGAAACCCGTGACCCGAAATGAAAATTTTCCAACCCGAAACCCGAAACCCGTACCCGATATTTTTTCCAACCCGAAACCCGATACCCGAAATGAAAACGCTCCAACCCGATACCCGAAACCCGTACCCGAAGATTTTTTGTACCCGCGGCAACCCTGCTTCGTACACAGGTACGAGTACGAATTTTGGTACGAGCTTTTAACCATTGGTAGCGGCAAAAATCTTTTTTATTTTAAAAGGTTTTATTTTTAATTAATTTTTTAAATTTTAATTATTCATTAAAAATACCTCTTTGATTTTAATTTCATATGAACGAATTTTCTCATCTTTTAATTTAATTTTTGTAACATAATCTTTATTTTCTATTTGTAACTGTTCATTTTTTGTCAAAAATTCTTTTGCCTTTAAATATTTAAATTATTAAATTATTTAAGACAAATTAAACAACTTTTTTCTCAGCTTCATATTCAGCCTTGTTAAAAGCAACATTACTTTCAGTTAAAGTTTTGATTTGTTCTGCCTGCTGCTAAAATTATAACATTTTAATTTAATTTTAACCTATTCGATTGAGGGATACCAAAAATATATGTCAGCGCATTTTCAGGAAATAGTTTTGAAATTTGCTCGATAGGTCCCAAAATTTGGGACCTTGGCGATAGGTTCCAAACTCAAAAATGTAACGAAACTGAATCCCAAACTTTAACTCAAAAGCAAATTTTAAAAGCGTACTGAAAAGTATTAACGGTTTTAACAATCTATAAGAGTAAATATGTTATGACAATTACAAATATGCAATTGCGGGTATAAAATTTAAAAAAAATTATTGAGTTGAGAGTTTGTTTTATAGTGCCGGCTTATGGTTCCCGAATGATTCTAGATAAATGCGGTGCTGAAAACTTTAATAAATCTTTCAATTTTTAAATTTTATATCAGCAATTGTCTTACAAAAAAAATTTACCTTAATTTCTTGTTCATAATTCTTCTTATTTTCTGAAATTTCCCGTTGAAGTTGAGAAATAATTTCTTCACATGTCTTCAATGTGCTGGTTAATTTTTTGTAATCTTCTTCAGATAAAAGTGTTAAATTATTCTTTTCCAATCTTTCAGTTATTAAAAATCCAATTTTTTCTTTAGAAATTTTTTCCTTCTCATTTTTTAATTTTTCAAATTCTTCTTTAATTTTTAAAAATTCATCCAAAGCCAAAACACGTTCTTCTTCCAATTTTAACAATTTATTTTCATAAACATTTTTATTTTCTTCCAAATTTTCCTTCAAAATTTTAATTTCCTCTTCTTTTTTAAATTTATCCAATTCCAAACTTTTAATTTTTTCTTTTTGTTGTTCAACTTCTTTTTGCAAATAATTTTGTAATTGTTTAATTAATGTTTGATTTTCCATTGTTGGGTAGTCTGTAGAGGAATTTTGTTTTGTTGAGTTAGTTAACTAAAATAAAAATTAATTTAATTGTTATATTCAAGAGATTAATTATTTCTCTAAAGACTGTGGAAAATCTAGTATTTAATTTAGAAATATTATAACGTGAAAAAGAAATTTAATAAAACCAATTTGATAAAACTTCAGTTTGTGTTCCCCTTTCTTAACATTTTTCATTTCCCTAGAAAAAAATGTAGGAACAAATGCGATATACTATTTTTTCGACATTTTAGAGTTTTGTCAGTAAAGTATGCTGAGTCCGAATATGAGTTCAAATTTATTTATTTCGAATCCCGGACCCGAATTCGAATCCAATTAAGACAATTAAAATTTACGGGAAAACTGACTTTCTTCGAGCTCTATTATTTTGTGTCCGGAATTAGAACACATATTCGGACTCAGCACACTTAATTAACCTATTGGTAAACCTTCAAAATATCGAAAACCCTTCCTCCTTTTTTCTAGGAATAAAAACCATAATTTTTTCTAATTTAAAAACCCCCTACCAAATCAAGTTTAGCCAAAATTAATTGAAAAGCCAAATTTGTTTTGTCTTTTTCCACCTAAAAAATAAATAAAATAAAAATAATTCTAATTAATCAATTACCTCCAATAATTTTATACGATTTAAAGAATCTTCAAAAGTTGAAGTAGAACATAAATTACTAGACAAATCATCATTAGAATTTTGTATATTTTCACTCATTCTGAAGGAAATTAATTTTAAAAACTAAAAAAATTTAAAAAATATAAATTTAAATATTTAATAAATATGGAACAAAATTTAATTGTTATTTTTAATTGTGCATATTTAAATAAAAATAATTTTTTTTGTAATTTTTAATCAACTCGAAAAGAAAAATAAATAATTAATCAAAAAATAAAATTCATAAATCAATTCTTCATTTAATATAATCGTCAATATTATAAACAAAAGGCTTTGTCAAAAGATCATTTCCAAAATTTGTAAACACCGAACACGACAAAAGTCCAATAAATGGATAAAAATTAATGTTATCTTCTTCAAGTAAAATATTTTTACCTAAAGAAATTTAAATAAAAAATAATTATTATTGAAGAGAATTCGAGAAAAAATTTTTTATTTTAAATTAAAAAGAATTATTAAAAAATATTTGAAGGAAAAACTGGACAATTAAAGATATTTAATGACTATAAATAGGGATAGAAAAGCAATTACGGGAATTACCTATTTTGAGCTAATTTTGTATTATTCAGATATTCTTTTGTTTTAAAAGACGAAATTTAGGAGTTAATAAGAAAACGAGGAGGTGAAATCGAAAAATTTTAAAAGTCCCAAAATTTTTTAAAACAAAAATTTAATTTTCTCCTCACCAATTTTATTTCCATTTTTAGTAAAAAATACATAAGCCTTTGTTTTCAAATCATTCTTTGGAGGAAACACAATTCCACACCCAAAAACATCTCCATCTACCCATCCAAATCTTTGATATTCTGCCCAATAATGGGTAGAATCACTCAAAAATATTTTTACATTAGGAACATCAAACCCAATACCAGCATAAGAACTAAAAAAATTTTTACTATATTAAAAATTTTTAGAGATAGGAAAGGATTAATTTATATTAAAGTCGTATATAAATTATGAGTACACCCAGAGTCATGCTGATATAAAAATAAATTCACGATTTCGGCAAGGAAAGCCCAGGAAGATGCTTGAACATTGGTGAAGACTAGTGTTGGGGTTTTCGAGTCAGGCCAACGTTCGAGACATTGTTTTTTAGAAAAATTTACATTTCTGAATTTAATTCTTTAAATATTTTCACTTCAAAATAAAACAGAGAATAATTACTGTCATAACCCGATGCTTTTGAGTATGGATGCTGTCCATATAAAAAAATCCATTTATTTTCTCCTACAATTCTCACATCATTTGTCAATTCATTGTTATATTTTATCAATCCATTTTCATAAACATTAACATATCCATTTCCTTTACTGCAGATACCGCTAGATAAATTAGAATTAATACATTTATTTTCACAACAAGAATTTTGATTTTTAATTGTGCTCATTTTATTTGGACTCTTCACGTATAACTAAAAAAATTTTTTTAAATATTTAATTCAAAAAATAAAAAACATTTACAATTTGCTTGTTTCCTTTATTTAATTTATCCAATTCAGCAGTTAATTCAACAATTTTATTGTTGCGAGCTTTGTTCATTTCTTTCAACTTAAAAATAAGTAAATTTATATTTTTGATAATTATATATTCTTTAAACACCTCGAGGGACGGAGAAAATAAAACAAGTAAATAGGGAATGAACAAGACAGAATTATTAATTTTTAAATTTAAATGATTAACAAAATTCAAAACTATTTCTTTGGAGTTTCGAAAACCAATTTAATTAATAAAACAAAATTTTTCGTTTAGAGCTTAACAAATTTAAATTACTTACATGGGAAGGTTGCGAGGTGTCCGAGCTAAAAACGGTCGAGACCGGGCTCATTCGATAGAGAATGTGCCCTTTCTAGCTATATATCTTGGTCAGATCAAAAAACGGGCAAAAACGTCAAAAAATCTTTGTTAGAAAGGGCACATTCTCTATGAATGAGCCCGGTCTCGACCGTTTTTAGCTCGGACACCTCGCAACCTTCCCATGTTAATAGAATAAATACACTGGCGGAAATTTACTTAGGGAAAAAATTTTTTCATGGTTTTTAAAGTTTTACTCAAAAAATTTTTTCTTTAGCCTTCTATATTTTTATGTATCTTTGTAGCCCTATTAATTACCTATAAAATGGTTATAAACTTGTCCCGAGAAAGTATAATATTTGACCAGAAAATTTTATAATAGATAACCTACTTTAAAACTGCGCGGAAATTTACTTAGGGAAAAAAATGAAGTTTAATTTTTTGTGGAAAACCAATGTAGGAAAAATCTGAAAAAATTTCTGGGATCTTCCCTATCAATTTGATGAAGAATGAAAAAAATTCTGACTTCTAACTCACCCCCATCATTGAGATCTCGAGATTCAAAATCAACGGAAAATGGGGTGATTTGGGGGTGATCTGATTTAAAAAATATTTTTGGCAATTTTGATCTATTTAAAATTTTTATTTCATGACTATTTTAAAGCCCATAAAATTTGCTACAAGATAGGCTTTACGCCATTTCTTTAAAAAAATTCTTCATCGAGATAAATACCGAAGTTTTTTTAGTCGCCAAATTTATGCCTAATTTAACATATTTTTCCCCAAATTAAAAGGTTTCAGCGTGTATCTCGATAAAGATTTTCTTAAAGAAATGGCATTAAGCCTATTTTGTAGTAAATTTAATGGGCTTTAAACTGATCATGAAAGAAAAATTTTATCTGGGCCAGATGGACCGAAATATTTTTTTAAGTCAAATCACCCCCAAATCACCCCATTTTCCATTAATTTTGGATCTCAAAATTACAATGATGGGGATGAGTTAAAAATCAGATTTTTTTGCGATTATTCATCACATTGTTAGGGAATATCTCACGAATTTTTTCAGATTTTTCCTACATTGTTTTCCGATAAAAAATTAACCTACATTTTTTTCCCTAAGTAAATTTCCGCGCAATTTCTGGATAGGCTAACTATTATAAATTTTTCTAGCAGAATAAAAAGTTGTACCTGGCCATATTTGGTACCATTTAATAGGTATTAAATAAGGCTAGAAAAATACTCAAAAAGAAATAAAGTCAAAAGAAAATTTTTTTAGTAAAACCTAAAAAACTCAAAGAGAAAATTTTTCCCTAAGTAATTTTCCGCCACTGTATACCTCTTTGACTTGCATTTCAAATGAACGAATTTTCTCATCTTTTAATTGGATATTTGCAACAAAATCTTTATTTTCTATTTGTAATTGTTCATTCTTTATCAAAAGTTCTTTAGCCTTTAAATATTTAAATTAATTAAATTATTTAAGAGAAATTAACAACTTTTTTCTCCGCTTCATATTTAGCATCACTATAAGCAGCATTACGTTCAGTTAAAGTTTTGATTTGTCCATCTCGATCTTCTGCCAAATCTTTAATTTGCTAAAATTAAATTATTATTTAACCCATTTTAACAGACACAAAATAAATTTACTTTAATTGCTTGCTCATAATTCCTTTTATTTTGCGAAATTTCATGTCGAAGTGGAAATATTGAATTTTCAGAATCCTTCAATTTTTTGGTTAATTTCTTGTTTTCTTCTTCAATTTTCATAATTTTAATTTTACTCTCTTCCAAGTCTTTCAATAATTTATTTTTCCCTTTAAAAATCCCCTCATTTTCTTCTTTTAATTTGTCCAAATTAATTAATTCCAATTTTTTGTCTTCTTCATATTTTCCAATTTTTAATTTATTTTCTTCCAATTCTTTTAATAATTCAACTTTTTCTTCAAAAATCTTTTCGTTTTCCTCTTTTAATTTTCCAAATTCTTCTTTAATTTTAGAAAGTTGATCCAAAGCCAAAATATGTCCTTCTTCCAATTTAACCATTTTATTCTTATAATCATCCAATTCATTTTTATTCTCTTCCAAATTTTCTTTCAAAATTTTAATTTGCCCTTCTTTTTCCAATTTATCCGATTTCAAAATTTTAATTTCCTCTTTTTGTTTTTCAACTTCAATTTTCAATTTATCTTTATTTTCAAAACATTGCATTTTTTGTAAATTTAAAATTCCTTCCTAAAATTATTTTTAAATTAAAATTAAAAAAAAATTATTATGTATTTTTTACATTTCCACCCATTTTCTCATTCAATTCTTGTAATTGTTTAATTATTGTCTGATCATGGTAGAGTCCCTGTAAAAAGATTAATTATTCTATCAATACTCTGGAAAATCTGATATTTTAGAGCATAGGGAATATATTTTTGCGAATCAAAATTTCCCAAAAATGTAATTGACATATATTTAAACTCCCCAATATAAACTATAGACCGAGGGAAACCAAGGCGAGATTTTATTTTAAAATCTCAGTTATCAAAATTTTCGAGAACATCAATCAATCCTTAAGTCCAGTTTTGAATTTAACCCAGAAGCGTCCTCTATGATTGAGCCATTGCGAAAAAGCATAAATTCGTAATAACCCTAAAGAAATTAAAACCCCCTACCAAATCAAGTTTAGCCAAAATTAATTGAAAAGCCAAATTTGTTTTGTCCTTTTCAACCTAAAAATAAATAAAATAAAAATAATTTAAATTAATTAATTACCTCCAATAATTTTATACGATTTAAAGAATCTTCAAAATTAATAGTAGAACAAGAGCATAAAAACTAGAAAAAAACTAGAAAATAGTAGAACAAGAGCATAAAAACTAGAAAATTTAAAAATGTAAAAACTTTTAAATATTTCTACAAATAGGACCGAGATATTATTAAAATTCGTGTATTTTATTCATACTTCCATCCCTCCTTATTGAGCCAAAATTTATCTTTTCTAGTCAATCAAAAATTCATATGACACAAATGATTTTTTGATTTGGAAAATTGATGGTTTTTGCGTATTGGTTCGGTCACCTTTTTTTATTTTAATGCTTTTAGAGAAAGAATCCATCTGAGCCTGTATCATAAGAACCACAAGGTCATGGTTAACCTTACAACCGTCTTATGATACGAGCCCTGGGTTATTTTAATACGTCTTGCCCTAAAAGCTTCTTTGAAATTAAAAAAAGCGGTGACCGGGCCAATACGCAATACCATCAATTTTCCAAGTCTGATTCTATAATTTTATAAATACCATAATCAAAGTTTTTCAAAATTACTCAATTCCCCTTTTAATAAAATAAAAAACGAAAAACTACGTTTACAATCAAATACAAAAAAACACAGTAAAATGCATATTTTTTTCTTGAGATATATTAATTAGTAAATATTTATATAATCATTCAAGATTCACGTACAAATATGGGTTACAGGGGAAATTTTTAAAGAAATTTTTTAATTAGTCATTTAAAAAAATAAGTATTTATTTTTAAAGAGAATCTCTTTTTTAAGAAGGTTTTATAGGTAATTTAACATTCCAAACACGAATATTGGCATCTTGTCCAACACTTAATATTCTTTTTCCATCAGGCAAAAAAGCAACACAATTTATTGCACTCATTTGATGAGCACCTCGAATGAGTAAAGGATGTTCTCCACTTTGTTCCAAATCCCAAACCATTATATTTGTGTCAAGAGAACCGGTGACTATATAACGACTGTTAATGGAGAAAATTTTAGGCTATTGAAAATAAGGAAAAAGATTTAACAACCTATTACTCGACCAAGCAGAACAGTTGATGCGCGCTGTGTGGAAGGACCAAGATTTTTCTGAAGCAACTTTAAATCCATTATTTACATTATACGGGACTACCTGAAATTTAAAAACTAAATAAAATTATTTATTATTTTTTGTACTTTTTTAGCAATATCAGTTGCTACAAGGTATTTTCCATCTGGACTGAAATTTACAGAAGTTAAAGCACCGCCATGAGATAATTTTTGTTTTTCGGTTAAAGAACTGTCAGATGTTGAAAGAGCATAAACATGAACATTGGCATCCTTAAAAAATAATTTTCAAAATTTAGTCACCCCCCTCCTCTCCTTACATTTCCCCCAACTGCCAAAAGATTTCCTTCAGGAGCTATTGCAATACACATTCCTTCATATTTAATTTCATTTGTTTTTAATAGCCTTTTATCTGTAAATATTAATATTGCACGTTGTGTTGCGACAGCGACAGTTTTGCCATCTTTTGTTGAATCGACACCTCTCGGTTGGGAAGTTAATTTGTGTGAAATTGGTTGGGCATTATCTGTGAGTTGAAAATTCTTTGAATTTTAAAAATTTAATTTACCAATTATATTTAAAGCTTTCTCTGTAAAGGCAATTGTGTCATCCCAACCTTGAAATAACTTTTAAATAAAATTAAAAAATAATATTAACCCGTAGAAATGAGCGTTCCATCATTTAATAATTTTAAAGAAGAAATTTGAGATTTATGAATTGTGGGTGTTAAACGTTCGGATGAGCCATCAGACAACTTCCAACGGGCTAAATAAATTATAAAATGATAATTATTTTTCTTTCCCTCTCGAAAAAACAACTAACTAATATTTCCTTCAAAATCAGCAGTAAATACATTTTCTCCATCACTAGCCAAAGCCATTGCCGTAATTGATTTATTATGTCCTTTTAATATTTTTGTAATTGTTAAAGTTTCAGGATCAACATAGTTAAGAAATCCAGAAAGAGAACAAGAAACAATTCTGTCACGTAACCAAACAACACCTAATTGTTGATCGTCAACTGTTGTGCCAAAACGGACTGTTCTGAAAAAGAAAAAAAACAATTTTAAAAATATTAAATAAATGAAAAGAAGCCAATTTTTTATTTAAAAGGCCATCGTTTGAAGCACTAACAAAAAACTTAAAAAAACTAACCCAATAATCTTTTTATCAGCAACGTTCCAAATCTTTAATGTTTTATCACCAGAGGCAGTGACTAGCCGTTTTCCATCAGAATTCCAGCATAAAGCAAAAACACCTCCAGCATGAGCAGCTTCTTTACAGGCAGTATCACTGCTGTCAACAAGTTCTCCGATCTTGGTTCCTTCTGTGCCTTCGAAGAGAATTACCTTAAAAAATATTTCATTGAATTTTTTGGTCTAAAAAGATTAAATCTAAAAATTAATTCCTGTTTTGGGCTCATATTAAGAAATAAAAATATTCAAAAAATAAAAACCCTTCCATCAGCCCCAGCACTTGCAAAAATTGACCCATCTTTATTATACCGAATACATTGAGCAAAACGTGTATGTTCATGGAAAAGCTTTAAAAAAATTTTCAATTTAAAAAAATATTTCAAAGAATAACCGTTTTAAATTTAAAAGGAGGTCCTTCAAATATAGCAACTGTATTGTCTTCTGAACTACTTACTAGACGATAAGGACGAGTCCAACGAAAATCAATACTCTAAAATATTTTTGTTTTAAAAAATAAAAAAATACTAACAGTCATAGCTTTACTCTGTCCAGATAAATTTCCATTGCTTGTACCGGTATCGAAAAGAAAAACATGTCCAAATCTTGAAAAAAGATTCATTTCTTTAATTAAAAAATATTTAAGAACCTTTCCTTCCCTTCTCCAACAACAGCCATTCTTTTACTGTCTTCTGACCAAGCAATATCCCGAATGGGACCGTTAATTAAAGCGTACTCTGCTTTTAAAATATGTGTCTAAAAAAGAAACACTTTTTAAAAAATCAGTTAAACTCAAACCGATTGTGTAGTATCCCAAATTCTTATTTTTCCGTGTTTGTCGCCGCTAGCAATGTAAAATCCAGACGGGGCATATTTTGCAACTTGTGTAAGTGTTGAATGTTCTGTGTAGACATCACAGTCAAAAATTTGCTAAAAACTAATATTTAACTAAAAAACAAAAATTCTTACATTAGCATCTCGTATAAATACACTATTGCCAGCACAATATACAAATTTGTTTCCATCTGGACTAGATGACAAAGGTAACGGCAAACCTCTAGTAGTACGTGGCAGTGAAGGCAATGTAAATTCTGAATAAAATTTATTTAAAAAAATTTTTCAAATAAAACTAACCGTGTTTATATTCTTCACTTTGCGATGTCATATTAAATTATAAGTCAAAAATATGTTGTTTAAATAAGAATATGGGAAAAATATAGAAAATATAAAGCCAAAAAGGCAAATTATGGATTTTAGGCACTTTATAAGAAAATGCAAGACTTGGAAAATTAAAATTATAGAAATTAAAAAATAAGAAAAAACGTTTTAAAAGCTTTAATAGAAAAAAATCAGAACCCAAAGGAACTTGAATGAATGACAAAAAATTATGTATTTCAATATTTAAGAAATTCAAAATCGATTATAATTAAAATATGAAAGACTAAAAATTAAATTTAAAAAAAAAGATAAACTGACTTTGTTAATTTTCAAACAAAAAATATGAAATAGAACAAATGACGCATATTCGCCTATATAATCTTAAAGCTAAAGTTATGTTTGAGAACACATGAGAAATGCTTAATGGAGAGTAAAATGAGAGCGACAAATGTTGATCAGGAGAGAAGAAAATTTTCGTTTGTAAGGACAAATTTTAATGTTTCATCTATTGATCTGTAAGAGTAAATAATTCTTTTGAAATATATTCTAAGATTTTTGTGAAAATTATGATTGAAGACAAGAAAAACGTTGATCTATGTACCAGGATAGATCAAACTGAACCTGTTATACGAGGGACCTACTATAGTACGTACCCAAAAATACTGTAAGAAATGCTCAAGAAAAATTCCTTGTTAGGGGTATTTAGTAGAGGTCGGCGCAGGACAGGATCCTGCGCAGGATTTTTCAGGATCCTGTCCGAAATCCTGCCTTTTTCCAGTTTTCAGGAGTAATCCTGCAGGATCCTGTCCTGTATGAAATTTTAAAACCCAATCCTGATACAGGATCCTGCAAATGTGATCTCTAGTATTTAGTTTTCCACTAAAATAAAACTTAAAATTGAATTAAAATTAAAAATATCTTATATTGTTTAGTCACAAAACAAATAAAAACAAAATCCAAATTCTCCAAAAAATTTATTCACCACAGAAAAAATGTGGAAACAATAAAATAATGGAAGAAAAAAACAAAATGTGTTTGTATTCGTTTTTTTGAATTTTTCTGAATCATTTTCGCAAGTTATGTAACGAAGTATGACGCGTTAAGAATGTAATATATGTTCGCGCATAAAGTGTAAGGTCATTGAAGTTAATTTTTGATTTTAAATTTTATTCAATTTAGAAAATTTTTTTCATTTTATTAGTAAATTTAAAAATAACTCCAATGACCGCACAAAAATTTAAAAAAATAAATTGTCAATCAGATTTTAAGGCACATCCAGAAAATTCCCTCAAACACTTTTTATCTCTCAAGCACTAAATAAAAATTTTTTTCCTCCCCCAATTCTTTAACTTTTTTCTGGATGTGCCTTTTTAAAATACAAATAACTTGAACAAAAAACCCCAAAATTTAAAATTAATTTTTTAACTGAAGTGCATCGTATAAAATTGTTTTTAAAAAATTAATGTTTTTGTTTTGTTGTTATAAATACGATGCACCAAAAAATTTTTCGCCTTAAAAGAATAGCTGAAGAATACAAATTCTCTCGAATCCTTAATAAAATTGTTAATAATTGAGGTCTAAATTTCAAAAAATAATTCTTAAAATTAAATATTCAAATCAAAAATAGTCAATCTGATAAGACTTTTAAAATCTCTCACTCTTTCAAAAAATTATTTATTTAGATCCAAAAAATATCAGATTCACCACCTTATGATCCAAAAAAATTTCAATTTCCAAAAAACCCCAATTATAACAATAGACAGTTGCCAAAGAATATTTTTTATAATTTCAAAGAAAGTTAATGCGCAAATGTTGTTGTGGTCATTTTTTAAGATCATGCTCATTAACATGAAATTTTTTTAAATTAATTGCGCAGCAATAAAAAAGAATCAGAGTGCAAGTAGTTACAAAAAAACTAGTTTTAAAAAGTTGGTTATATATTTAAAAAAAGGCCGAGACACACAAAATTCGGGAGTTTAGAAAAACTCCCCAAAAAGTAGCAGATTGGTGATTGTGTCCAGCAAGTAAATTTGAATAGAGAAAGAATAAAAGAGAGAGGAAAACACAAGAAACTGAAAAATATTCGAACGAAGCGAATACTTGTGTTTTGTGCTGTGCTTTTAAAAAAATATTTATATGTAGGTATTGGTGGTGCCGAATAAAAAAAAGAAAGGAAATATAAGCAAGAATGGTGAAGTTTATGTGTGTTGGAGAACTTTGTTTTTCTCTTAAAAATTCTTAAAAATTTTAATTTTTTAAAAATCTTCATTTATTTTAAAACAAATTTTAATAACTGATTCTCCATTAAAAATATAAAATTTATTAACTTAAGATTGATATTTTAACTGAAAAACTAAAACAAAGGAATGGGCCTTTCTCTAACACACATAAACTTCACAAAAAAATTAAAAATTAATATTTTCAGAAAAGTTATATTTTTTCTCAAATCAGAAAACAAATATATTTAATGAATGAATATTCAATTATGGGTTGCTTATTTTTTACCTTTTATGTTTTTACCTTTTTTCTCGTTCAGAGAATTTTTTACTTTCAAAATTTTAAGTCATTTTCGTTAGTTTTGTTGATTTCACAAAAAGAAGAGCATGACGAAAAAGAATTACTATTTGGAGAGGTTGAATGAAGAGAAATAGCAGTTAAAGTCATTGCCAAATTATTATTTTTATATTTTTCTTCTTCTTCATCTTCAGCCTCATCGTCAGTTAAACCCAACTCAGATTGAGTATATTGCTCATCAGCAAACAGAGATTGGACTACATCATTTGCAATCTTAAATTAAAGAATATTTTTGGGAATGTTAATTTAAAAATATTTAAATGATTTTTCTTAAAGATAAAACGAGAAAAACAGTAAAAATCTCTACGAGTAGATCTCTACAAGTAGGATTAATTAAGTTTGACCCCTACGAATAAAATCGTATACGTCGTTCCAGGTTTTCTACAGGTTAGTTTTCTACGTTTCCAAACCCCCTTTATCCCTCCCATTTATCTTAAAAAATAAAAACAAACAGCTTCCGCAGCATCAGCACAAGCAGCCGCCATAACTTCATCTTCCTGTTGAGACGTCGCGGATTCGAATGAAGAGGAAGAAAAGAAACCTCCGGCCATATGATGATATGGCAAAAAAGTTAGCGACGAAATATTGTAATTTTGTGTGTTTGATGCCGGAGTTGTAAAAGCAGCCATTTGTTCAAGTATCGAAGCAGAATTCAAAGACGAAGGTAATTTTTTAGAAATATCTTTATTGTCCATATAAGTTTCGGCTTCTTCTGTCTTATCGTCGCTTGTTCTATCCGCACTTTTATCCAAATATTTTGTCAGAGAAGTTGACTTGCAGCCGCTGTCGTCAAATGAACTCATAAATGTTGATTCCTCCTCATCCTCGCCTTCAAGCATCATTCGTCCCAATTCCATGTCTAGTTGGCGGCCGCGTTCCGAGTCATCAAAATCTAAAAATAAAAGTAGAGAAATACATAAGAAAAGCTTAAATCAAATTTTGGACTATTTTTTAAACTAATTTATGAAATATTTAAAACTAGGGTAGAAAAAAAACCTGAATGGGGCGTAATATGAGGCCAGCGAATTGGAGAACTAGTCGGTAATATTTTTATCAGTAAAGAAGAATCCGCTGAATCCTTGTGCTTCTGTGAGTGCGTTTGCTCATTATTTAAAAATGCTGCCGTTGTAGTCTGCTCTCCATTGTAGAACAAAGACTTGAGGTCGCTATTACTGAAGAGCTCACGTTGTTTCATTTGTTCCTCGAAAGACTCGTTAATCAGTGCAACCTTAAAAAAGGGGTCCATTTAAATCTAAAAAATAATTTCTCTTTCTAATTCAAAATGGAAAAGTTAAAAGAGATGTTGTACTGCCCGTACTAGAAAATCTTTTCTAAGACAGAACCCACGCTCATCAACCCAAAAATTATCTTTAAATACAAAACCTCAAGATCATCCGTGTCAAGCTCCTCCTCTTTTGGATCAACAAAACTATTCAGGAGGATGCCTCTACGATAAATAAAATCATCAATAAACGACATTCTTCCCTGAAGTAAAAATTTAAAAAATCAAAAAATTTTTAAATTTAAACCTTTTCTTTAGGCACAAACGGCAAAAAATTAATACAAAAAAATGCGTGCAGAATAAATTTAGAAGGCTCCCTCAGACGGCACAATGAAGTGTTCTCTACGACCCTTGTGGTATATTACTCCACAGACCTTCAACTATTAACGGTACCCTGAAAAAAATTTAAAAAACATTAAACAATTTTTCAAGTCAAAAAAAAATACATGAACGATTAAAAAAACGTTAATTAAAAATATAGGAAAGGATGGGGAAAAGGCTGAGGAAAAAATTAGAAAAATAGAATCACCGACCACACAACTTATTTAATCCTTAAATATTTCCTTTCCTTTCTCAAGTGTATTAAAGTTACTGACCTTTAAATCATTGCCTTTTTAATTGGGAAAAAGAAAATGTTTTTAATCCTTACAAAAATTCAAATAAATTTTTTGGCATGTTTTATTAATTGATTTATTTTTTTAACTTTATCAGGAACTAAACTCAAAAAATCCTCGGTTCCATAAACTGCAATAAAAAAATTGCAAAAGGCTATGAGTCATAAAAGGAATGTTTATTTAAAAAAATTTGTGTTAAAAAATGTGATTCATCATTTTTTAACAAGAAAAAAAACTAAAATTTAATTTAAAATGTCCAAAATAAAATTAAGACAATTTAGGCCAATTTACTGAAAAGATTTAAAAATAACCCGTTGACAAAAGGGGGTTAAAAAAGATTAAAATTTTTCTGACAAAGATTTAACACTTGGAAAGTTACAAAAATCTGGTAAACAAAAAAAAACAATCTTTGAAATATTAAAAAGCTTTTTAAGAAAATTTAGTAAATAAGAAATGGGAAGAAAGTTCATAAATTGCAAAAAAGGTAAATAAGAGGAAAATAAACAAAATATATAAAAAAACAGTTATCTTTCCCTAAAGACGAATTTAAGCGATCAAAAATCAACAAAAATAAATTCCAATAAACATTTAAAAAATTATTCCAACCTTTATATGGTTTATAGTGCGCATGAAAATACGTAACAAAGAAATTTGCAAAAATGCGAGCAAAAAGGTGGAAGGAAAAAAGTCCAACACAGACCACATACTATTTTGCCTTCACATCAGCAGGAAGGCAATGAAAATCGAGCAGAAAAGCTACGCATCGCTGTAGACAGCAAATGCGCTTTTACAAAAGAATTGTCTGCATGGCAAACGGCCAAAAAATCTATGGCGCCTCATTTCTGGCGTTGTGAAATAAAACGCGGAAATTTAAATTTGGCAACCATGTACAGCCCAAATAGTCGCGCGGCCATTAATTTTTCCATTAGGTCGCCAGCCATAACTTGCTAAAAAATTTCTGGCCCTTATTAATTTTGGTCCAATCTCTTTAGCTCGATGAGAGGAATCGTTTAATACTAAATTTGGAAAAATTCGGAAATCTTAAAGCAAGTTATGGATTGGCGACCTTATGGCCGCGCGACTATTCGGGCGTGTCACCCATTTCAGTGCTGAAAATTTACAATGCCATTTCCTCACTAGTCATATTCTGATCAATTATGGTTTTCCAAATGTTTTTTTGTCAGAAAAAACGGAAACAATACATACAATACAAAAAATTTTTCCAGGTTTAGGGACAGACAATTATATACAATTATACAATACACAATATACATATTACTATTTTATTATATATGCACTCACATTTATGACTTCCAATCATCTTTATTTATATTCTCTCCTCTATTTGTTCTTCACTCCACATCAATCATTTTTGTTTCCGTGCATATACATCCACACGCAACCGCGAGCATCAGACCCAGGCAGAGAATAAAGGCAATGATCGAGCCTAAAGCCACAAGTCCACGCGTACTTTCTGAATTTAAAAAATTTAGGTGTTTTCTCCGACGAAAGTTTTACCATGAATTTGTGCAGGATCCTTGACGCATTTCGAGTTGTCGTTATTACTGGGTGCTGGCGGCGGGTTTCGCTTGACCTGAAAATTAAGGAAAAGTACAAATGTTTTCAGAGCTATTCGAAAGGCCCATTTCCAGTTTCTAAACGATTAAGATTGGACCGCCTAAGAATAAATAACATCATTTGTACTCACTCTGTCCGGCACAGTAGTAGTGTCATTCAATTTCGGGTTATAACCATCCATAGTAGTCTCGACCTCTTCAGAAGCTGCACACAAACAGACTGCTAAAATTTTTATATCAGAAACGTAAAATTAAATTGAAAGGAAAACTGACCCAACTGAAGCAACATCACCAACATCAGAGCAGTAGCCATCACTTCACTGAACGAGCTGGTTCTGTCCTTTTTGCATTGGTAGCGAAGTAACATTGTGTGACTGATGAGAACAAGAGTAACACGAGGCTTGGGCAATAATACGACGGATGTTTTGAAGTGTAGTTATATTACTGACGGAAGGGGTATTTTCTCTAAAGAGAAAACTTGTTTTTATAGCCACAATTACGACGGGCTTGTTGTGCGCCACCATAATTCTTGAAGATATAAGAATAACTACAGTCCACCTCGAAGTTTTAGTGTCAGTTCTGCGCAAGCTTTATCAAACGAAAACTCAAAACTCCCAACAAACTGGGAGCCTCCTTAAGTTTGCGGATGTCGGGGAGGGGGGGGGGTACTTTTGACATCACGTGACAATAAACCCTGGACTTTGTTCGGGGTCCAATTATAACAAAGTATTATTCTAAAATCCCATTTTTACAATCAAAATAATATCTAGAAAATTATGTAAGAAATCATTTCAATTTTTTAATTTTCAAAATTTACAAATAAAAATTAAATAATATACACAGTACACATATTTGAATAGAATAAAAATGCAAACAAAAATACAAAATTCACACAAAACATTATGCAAAGTAATGGCCGCAAAAAATAAAAAAATTAAAACAAAAAATATCACGACATGAAAGGCATAAAACGTTTAAGATTTGATTTTCTTTTTGGCCTTTTTTCAGTATTTGGTGGTTGAAGAAGTGCAAGTTGTGCTGAGGTTAGTTGACATAATGCTGATGCTACTGCTAATCCAGAGGTTCCAAAAGGTGTATATGTTTGGCCTAGAAATAAAATTAATTTTTAAAAATACCCCCCCCCCCTCCCCTATCTCTCACCTCCAGTTGGCAATTTAACAATAACTGTATAAACACCCGCTTGATAATTTGAACAAGGCTCAACTGCGCAAGGATCCACATGCTTAAAAGATTTTTTAGAAATTCTAGATCCTAGTCATTTTTAAACTTATTCTTGATTAACTTATTCTTTCTAAAATAAATCCTAATTTTCAGATCTTAACTAAACAGCATATTAAAGGAATCAAAAATCCAAATTTCTTTCGAATACCGATTTCATAGAATCTCCACCCAAATCTAATTGAATAGAAGCAAACGGACGTGAAGCCATTTCTTCAATTTCGTCGTGTCTTCTTCTAATATTTCTATACCATTCTATTCTCATTTTTATTATCCAAATTAAACCGGCAACAACAAGAAGAACAATAAAACAACTTTTAAATTAAATAAAATTAAAAAAATATTTTTTAAAGAAAACTTACGCTGCAAAAATAACAAAGAAAAGAATCCAATTAATAGGTAAAGATTGGGCAAATGAAATTTGAATCTTTAAAAAATTGAAATAAACAATGAATTTTTAAAATTTATTAAAATTTTTCTTACCTTTATAGGAGTAACAAAATCACTAATTCTAACATTAAATGTTGTGTTGGCATCAGTACCATAGGAAAAATCTTTAAAAATTTTTTTAATAACTTAAATCTTCTGTTAACATAGAAAATTTTAATAACCCTATTTTTATAGAAAATTAATTTTTATTTGTACAATTACTTGAATATTTTATTTTTTTTAATTACAAATATTTAAAAAATATACTTGGATCAGAAGAACTATAAGTTCTTTTAATTCCAGTACTTGTACATAATTGTCCAGCCATTAGATATTTTACATGAAAAGGTTGATTCCCTCCTTCTAATGGTTGTGAAGTTAAATTAATTGTAACTTTTGCCCCAGAATCCCCTTCACATGTTACTGTAAATTGGACATCTGTATCTCGCTGGAATAAAAATTTTTTAAGAAAAAAATCGTGTGAAACTGGGATACTCGGGGATTTTCATAGAAAAAACATTTTTTCTCTTAGAAGACATTATCTTATTCAATCAAAGAAAATTATTAACCTTTTCTCTTTACTTCTCATCAAAATTTAGAAAATAAAAATACCTTAAATGGCACACTGAAGAAATTAATTTGATTAACATATTTATCACGTATATCATCACTGTCCAATTTAAAAGTAAAAATAAAATCAATGGCAAGTTCATCTATTTAAATTTGTAAAAATTCCAATTTTTAAATATTTTATTTACATGTACAGGTTCCACCATTTTTTGGATCACCAATATATTTAGGTTCACATTTATCACAGCGAGGGCCAAGAACTCCTTTTGTAGAGCAAAAACAATCTCCATTAGTCTTTAAAATGACACAATATTATTATAAGAAATTTTAAAAAATATACCGGATTGCAAAGTGTTGCCTGTCCATTACATTGACATTCTAAAAAATATTTTACGCAAAAAATTAAAATTAAAAAAAACCTTTACACTCTCCCCCATTCCTAGGATCTCCATAGTACCCAGATTCGCATTGTTCACAATGTTCACCACGAGTTTTATCTTTACAACGAGTACAACGAAAACGTTTATGAGTTGAATTTTCAGTACAAGTGCTATGCCCATTACATTGACAATCTTGAAAGAAAATTATTTAAAATATTATTCTTCCAAAAAATTACCTGGCTCTCCAGTAAAGAACCATCTCTCACTTGGGCAACCTTCTCCGGACCGTGGACCTGATGCTGAACCTTCAATACATGTTCCAAGACCAGTTCCAGAACTAAAATTTTTATCAAATTTTCCAAAAAAAATAAAAGTTCCCTTACCCATCATCACACCATCCACATCTTGGCCCGATAGATTGACAATCAGAACAGGTTTTTTGTTGCTTACACGCGAAAGGATTATTTTGACATGCATAGTTTGTATTAGCTGCAGTCATCCAACTTTGACATTGCCCATAAGGAAAGCTTATCATATAAGTATCCATTGAAACACAGCGGTGATTACTTGGACACCACCTATTTTTGGCAGGAAAAAATAATATCAGAATAAAATATAAGTAAAATTTCCTTACATGCATTGTGCTTCAATACAACTCTGACAACTATTTTTCAAAAAGCAAGGAACAGAACAAGTTCCATTTCTTTGATTATGTCCTTCTATTAGAGCAGACGTTGAATGTTTCAGTTGTTGTGGCATAACTATAACATCCTGAGTTGCTGTTCTGCTAAGAGACTGCGAAGAAAGTAATGAAGGTTGTGATATTGTTGTAATTGAAGTAGATGGCTGTTGTTGTGTATTTGAAGTTGTTGCCTTTTCCATTTGAATTCGAGTTTGTTCTTCAAGTAATAAAGCTAAACGAAAAAATGATATTTCAAACAAGTGTTCTTCAGAAAATAAAACAAAAAAATCTACCTTGATCAGCCAAAGACACGCAAATCTGCTTTCCATCAATTGCAAACCAAATACAATGATTTAATCTATAACAAGCAAAACAATTAGTAGCTAAATTACAAGGGCGCAATTGTTTTGTAATTTCCTTCCTTCGTTGCTTAATACTTTGAGGGCAAAGAGCGTGATCAGTTAAAAGTCCACCATCAACACAATTTGTGAAAGAACCGAGGCATGACTTTAATTTAAATTTTAATTATACAACTTTATTCTAATCTTAATAATTACCTGACTACTCTCGCACCAACCACATCCTTTTTCTGACAAACAGCTTGAGCAATCTATTATCTGTGAACATTGTTGTCTTAAATCCAAAGTTGAAGAATCTCTTTAAAAATATTTTTTATAAAAAAATAAATGCGTTAAAATCTCACTTATCCATATGAGTTGGACAATATTTTTGTTGTTGAACAGCGTCGTTTACACTATTTAGCATTGAGTCGCCTTTTAAAATTGATTGAAGAAAAGAATGGCGCAAAGACGTGGTTGGAAGTGTTTTAGAGCACGTTTTATTGAAGAAAATACACCTAACACCATTTGCTAGCCTTTCACAATCTTCCTCATCACGTGCTTGACTGTCACAATTTGCTGCAAAAAATTACAAAATTAACAGAATAGATTTTAATTAAAAACTAACCTGGAGTAAACTTAATAACATCATTATGCATTTCCCCATTGAAACCACCAATCACAAACATATTAGAATTATACAAAAATGCGTCATGTCCATAACGAGAGATTTGTGTAAATTCATTTGTGTAGATTTTAAGCCAGCGCTTACAAACTAGAAAAATTTTTTAAATTCAAAAAAAATTCAAAATTCCAACCAGTATCGAAAGCATGAACTTGTCCAGAAAAACAATCATTTTTTCGTGTAGTAGAAGACTCATTATGGCTATTTCCTCCAACTAACAACATTACACCATCATCCATAAGTACAGCAGAATGTCGAAAAAGAGGGACACCATAATTGCCCAAATGTGTCCTATTAAATCAAAAATGGTAAAAAATAAAAGGAAAAATTAATTTTAAACCAAATTTGTTTTGTTGGATTATAAAGAATCAATTCATCTGTTATTGCATATGTATAACTACTTAAAGGAGCGTTGTAACCACCATAGACGAGAATCATTTCTCCAATATTTGGATCAGTAAAAAGAACAGAAGAATGTCCAAAACGACCCAAAATTGCAGAATCTATTTCGCCTCGACGCCATTTTTTGGTTTCTTAATGAGAATTATAGAATTGGACGTAAAAAAGTGCCTCGAATGCCAACGCGACCCGAAAATGGCACCCCCAATTCTAACAAAAAAATTAAATTTTAATACCAACCAAAAGAATAAATTTGCGGAATATACAAATACCCTTCATAAGGGTTATATCCAAATAAAACATGCATTTCTGTGCCAACTACATGAGCTGTATGACCAGCAACAGGAAGAGGAAAAGCCTGAACTGAATCATCATGAGAAGACAAATCTGTCCATTTTCCATTTTTTGGATTATATTCCCAAAATTCATTAGTAACTGTTCGTTGATTAATTACTCCACCAAATATGTATAGTTTATTCTAAAAGGTAAACATTATATCTTTTTAAAATAATTTTATATTGTTCCTAAATTTAAATTTTTACGACTTGAATAAGAAAACCCTCGAATCCCTAAGATATGTACCTATATAAATCTTCGATCCATGGAAAATTGAAAAAGCCATGAAAGCCTTATTGTTAGGGATCGTCTGCTAATTAAAGGATGAAAGTACCCATGGTCAACAGAAACGAGATAGGAATCAAATTTGCCAAAAAAAATTCCAAACCTGATAATGTACAATAGAATGATCATATCTCTGTAACGGCTTTTTATTTCCATTTTCATCTTTCTGAGGAATTGAATGAAAAGAGCGCTTCTTAACATTATAAACAACAAAATCAGCCAAAGAATAATCAGTTGGATTTAAAGTTAATCCCCCATAAATCCACAACTCATCTCCAATCAAAACAGATTTATGAGAAGCACGTGGAGAAAAAATTGTCGTTGAAATATTTGTTGTTGTAGGCACAACAATATCCCATGTTGGATTTAATAAAAGTTCTTGGCAACGATCGCCATGGGTGTGCTTTGTACACTCACATTTGTTTCGTTTACAGAATGCTTTGTTCTAAAAAAATTTTTTTAAATTAAATTTCTCTTAAACGCTTATTGTTAGGATATGTGTCAGGCCAATTTATCAGACATTGGCTGTCTTCTTGAAGAAAGCTAAATTAATAGAACCCGAAACTATTTTCTAAAATTAAATTAAGGTGTAAGGTAATGGCGTTTGAATATTTGGAACCTTCCTATCTCTAGATATTAAGTGTAAGAAAGGCAAGTTCAAGGAAAATATTGTTCACGTCTTAAAAGTCAATGATGGCCATAAAAATTAGACTTAGTAGTTTTATAATTTAAACAATAATTTCCCAAAAAATTCCCAACTCACTTTACAAGGACCAATCTGTCCATCCATATTTGACAAACAACGTTGATGTTCACAAGCTTCCCCACTAAACCCTTCATTACATATGCAAATCCCATTTTCATTACAACGCCCATTCCCACTACAATTCAATAAACAATTATTATTTTCTTTTTCACTTTCATCATTCAAATAATAACTTATATTAAATCCAGGCAAATTAAAAGCTAAATCACTAGCAAAATAAACTATTGCTTGTCCACTTTTGGCAAGTACTTCACGGCCTTGCAAATTTCCACTGAAATTTATAAAAAAATTTTTTTTAATAAAATCTGATAAAATTTAAGTTTTTAAAAGAAATCCGCAAGTTAATGAAATTTGCGGACAAAGGTCATTAAAAAATATTAACAAGGAACATATCGAACTGTGACCAAAAATTTAGTAATTATTTTTATACCATCGTGTAGAGCAGAATGCGGATTGAAAATGAGAATTTTGAAACCCTATAACTTTCGATTTGGGGTGTAGGGCTGAAAAAGCAAAAAATTGGCAATAGGAAATCGACACTGGTATACCCGATGTTATAAAAATAATTACAAAATTTTTGGTCACAGTTCGAAATGGTTCCTTGTAAGATTTTCCTTATTGTTAGAAGAAAGGGACCATATATCAATTCATCTCATTTCCCAATAAATTTATAACAAAATTAAAAACCTAAACACTCCAAGCAAATCACCATAAACCCCATCACCATCATAAATATAAAGCATATCCCAACAACATTCAGTAAAGAAATCATCTAATTTAAATAATAATGAAGAAGTGCTTCCATTTTGATTTTTGTCGGAATTTTCAAATACCCATATACATCCAGCAGAAGCGCTATAACTATTTGGGCCATCACTAATTGAGCCGTTACGGTGATGCACAGAAAGTTTTTTTCTAAAGAAAAAATAATTTTATGTTTTTTATAAAATATTTAAAAATTATTATTTTTTAAAATTTTGATCTAAATAATTTAATTCGATTTTTAAAAAATTAGTTAACTGATCAGAGAAGTGTTATATTAATTTTAAAATGAGTTATAATATTCTACTTATAATCGAACAATAATTTAAAAATTTTGTTAATATACATGCTTGTTTTTAGAAATTAATTTTTTAAATCCTTACAAAATCCTTCCATGACAGTTTTCACATTGCGGACCATTCCACCCCGACGGGCAATGGCATGCACCATCAGAACAAGTTCCACCATTAAAACATGGTTTATCACATTGTTTAGAAGGTAAATAAAGTGATGGACGTCTTAAAAAGAATTTTTTTAATTATTTAAATTTATCAAAAAAAATATTTTAAAAAATCCCCAACCTCGATTGAAAGCTTGTCCTGACGATTGGAAATTCAATCAAAATGCTAATAATGAAGAGCAATAAAAATAAACTTTCCATTCCTAATTTTTGTTGTAAATATACAAATTTATTTCCTAATTAGTTAAATGCTAAAAGAAGCACAAATATTTTGTTCATTGATTTAAAAATGTTGAGGTTGACATAAGTAATAAATTAATTAATATTTAATTTACGTATCTGAAAATAAAAAAATAAGAATAACAACAGCAAACTACATAAGAAAATTGTGAAATTTATTAAAAAAACGTCAAACGTCGCTAAATTCAAAGAATTGACCCATATGTGAATTTTAGAGTAGTTGACCATTTTACAATGTAGGCAGAAATTGACCATTTTAAAGTTTCTGAATGAGTTGACATTTTGAAATATTTCACAAAATGCCCACGCAAAATGTCACTCGCAGGGCAAGGCCACCTTCTCGGTTTGGAAAAAAATAAATAAAACTTGAAAGGGTTTCGTTTGTGCACCTGTTTTAATTAATTTTAAGACTATGAGGAAATTGATTGATACAAAAATTAACCAAAGTAATTAATTAATTTTGTGTGTAATTCTAACAAATTTTACCATTTTAGAACGGAGACGCTTAAATTTTGCTCTTCGGCAATTTCTTGTCGGCATTTTATACATGTGGCATTTTGTCATTTACCATTTTTTATCATTTCCCCCAAATTGTCGTTTTAAGCTCTTTTTTATTTCCAGCGGAGTTAAACTTTATTCATTTTTCTGTCAATATTCCTTAAACGCTGTAAACTAGTTACTTTATATTTTCTCTGTTCTTGTCTGCATTTTTCTCTTTAAAATATGTACTTTCTCTTCCCTTATTTTTTGCCTTAATAGAAAAATGCTGTTAAGCCTCCGGCATTTCAACATTGCCATTAATTATAGTAACGACATTTTCTGTTATTGCTACTACTAAAATTCCTTTGCGGCACTTTTTCTTTTAATAAAAATTCTCTTTTTATAACGTTCTTAATTTTTAGTTAATTTTTAATATTTTTAATATTTAATAAAAATGATGTGACAACAAATGTTTACAAATACATCTTTACTTCACGACAATAATGTCTTTTTTAATGGGTCTTTGGCTCACAGCGTTGCTGGCCTTTGTAAGACGATTTTTTTAATTAAAATTTAAAATTAAATTTAAAGGTACTTGGGCAGCACTTTTAATTACCAGTTACCAAATTTATCAGCATTTAAGATGGTATTCTTGTCCCAGTGAACAGAGATGGATTATTCGAATGTTTTTTTTTAATTTTTTATAATTTTTTTAAAATTTATTTTAGTCTTTTTATTGTCCCAATTTATGCATTTGACTCTTGGCTGTCTCTTTTATTTTTCTCAAATGATGTTTATATCTACTTCAATTCTATTCGTGATTGTTATGAAGGTTTTTTTTTAATTTTTTAGTTATTAAATTTTAACTTAATTTGAGTCAGTTTTTCAGTAATATTGAATCGGACCCTTTTTTCCTCCCCAATTTTTCCCTAAAAAACTCCAAAAGTAAGTTTGGATAGAAGAAAGGAAAAATCTGACGATTTTGCAAAAATATAGGGGAAAGATTGGGGAGGAAAAAAGGGGTCTGTCCGGTTCAATATTCCTTGTTTCATATTCTTTCAAATGTTTCTTTATCTTTTTTGTAAATAAAATAAAGATATAATTTTCGAATTTTAAGATTTCCTTTTTCTATTCCATTTTTAACCGCTAAAAGGAATTGTCTTATTAAATGTAATTTATTCATATTTTTAGCCTTTGTCATCTACAGTTTCCTCAGTCTCTGTTACGAATATTTAGGTGGCGAAAGTAATATAATGAACGAAATACGCGGCAAACCAATTAAACCAACAAATATTTGGACTTTTACTTGTTGTTTGGCGGGGAAACAATATACAATTGAATTTTTACGGTTTTGTAAAAAGGCTACTTTACAATTTTGTTTAATTAAACCAATTATGGTGGTGCTTACTTTAATGTTGATGATGGTTAGAAAATATGAGGATGGAAATTGGAGGTTTTTTTTTAATTTTTACATTTTCGAAATTTAGTCTAGACAGAACATTAGTCTAAAAAATAATCATTTAATAAGATTGAACCTGACAAACCCCATTTCTTCCTTCCCGAGTTTTTTTCTTATAGAATATATTTGCAGAATGGTCAGACCTTTTTCTTCCATTCCAATTCCCCTTCTATATTTTGCCTACAAACAATCAAAAGAAATTAATTTTTATTCCCCCTTTGGATGAAAATAGGGAAATTGATGGAAGTCTGACCATTCTGCAAATATACAGGACGAACCTTGGGGAGGAAAAAATGGGGTCTCTGTCAAGTTCAATATTACCGATTATTGTTTTAATTAATAAGTATATATTTCCAAAATAATTAAAATTATTATTTTTTAAATAAAATTTTTAGTATTGATCAAGGCTATATTTACATTACAAGTGTTTATAATATTTCTGTTTCTTTGGCACTTTATGGTTTATTTCTTTTCTACACTGCCACAAAAGATTTATTACATCCATACAATCCTGTTTTAAAATTTTTGACTGTAAAGTCTGTCATCTTTCTTTCATTCTGGCAAGGTTTGTAAATTAATTTGAAATTATATATGTCTGTGAGAAGATTCAAATAATTATTTTTAGGTTCCTTTATTTCTAAATTAAAATTTTGCTATAATTTCTAGGGCAGAAACTTGAATAATTCTCAAATCTCTCTTTATGTTATCCGCAAATCTGAAATTTTCTTATTCGAATTTAACCTCATTTTTTCTTTTATTTTTAGGGTTCCTGCTCGCCGTACTTGGCGCTACTTCAGCCATCGACCCAATTTATGATTCAGAAGGAAATGAAGTAATTAGTAGAGGAACAGTTGCAGCTGGATATCAAAATTTTTTTATTTGTGTTGAGGTTTTTGAATTTTATTTTTTTGTAGAAAATCTTTTAAAGATGTTTTTTGCTTCAATTGCTTTACGGTTCGCTTTTGACGCATCAGCATATATGGATGCACATACAAGTTAGCTAAAACTTTTAAAAATTATTCACTTTTTAATTTTTAAAGTAAATTCTGGTGAAGAACCACGAGCCATGACTCTTCAAAGTATTTCTAGTTCGTTGAAGGAAACAATGAATCCACGTGACATAATGCAAGATGGTAAATATTTTTAAATAATTGCTAGTATATTACTTTTTAAAAAATTGTTAAAAATAATTTATTTTTAATTTTTAGCCATACACAACTTCCACCCTCAGTATCAACAATACACACAGGTACATAATTTTATTTTTAAATTATCTAATTTTTGTAATTTTAGCATTCGAACCCTTCACGTTCGGTGAGTTAATGATTTTTAAAAATTCTATTACAAAATTTGCTTGAAAATATTTTTTGCTTTTTCTTTTAATTTTTCTATTAATAGAGTAGTTAATAATATTTTGTTTTTTAAATTAATTTTGTGGTTTGTCTTTTTTAAAGGAACCATCAAAACAACAAAATAATTCAAATACTCAAAATGCTTCTGGAATATTGCCACCGCTTACAGATTTATTATCTAGACAATCAACACAAAAAAGGAATAATAATCAAATAAATTCTCATCCCAATTCCCAGCCAAGCAGCCAATCACTCATAAATTTTTAAATATTGACTTTTTGCCTCAATTATAAACAAAATTTTTGTTTAAATAAATGTGCTGTAATTTTTGTGTTTTTTTTTGTGATTTGACTTCTTTGGCTTTAAAAAAATGAGAAATTTACATTCAATATTTTTTATTCCAATAATCTTATTTTTAAAGTCAGGCATAGCAGATGGAGGACCGGATGAATTACGTTCAGCCGCTCAGGATGCAGGAGGAAAGAAAAATTATAGTAGTATTGAATCTACAAATCAGTAAATAATATTGTGATCCTTAAAGTTTATATATCGGCTAATTAATTTTCCTTCCTCTCCCATCCAAAACAAAATGGAAAGTTTCTGACAAACGCGCCCATATGAATATTAAATGTCTGAATATTAATCGTTCTCTTAATATTAAATTTAATTGGGGTATTTAATTTGAAAGTAGCGTTGTTGTTGTGGTTGATGTGCTGTTGCCACTTGCATATTAGCTAAAAAAATAAATTTAAAAAAGAATTGGAAAAATTTAATTACTTTGTTGAGCATGTTGTTGCGGCTGAACTGAAGAACTTCGTGAAAGTGTATGAGTTGGTGGGGGTTGATGTGGAAGTGGTGGCTGTGAATGTGGAATTGGAGGCTGCTAAAAATGTTAAAGAAATAGAAAAGGTGTGGGAATTATAGATACGTAGAGTTAGGGCTCAGTTACTTTGTAAATAATGGAGGCTAGGCTCATAACCAAGGGGTTTAAGTGTTGAATCGAAATTATTGTGAATCAAAATAAACTCACATGTTGAAGTTGAGCATACTGAAATTGTTGTAAAGCTGCAGCAGGAATAGGAACAAATGTTGCCACTTGATTCGTCATAAAATTATTTCCAGCAGGAGCACCCCAATTCAAAACATAACCGGAAAGATTAGTTGCATCAGTACCCGTTGAAGCATAAAATCCAGCTGCTTGTTGCTGCTGTTGAAATAAGTGTTGTTGATGAACAGTTGCTGGTATAGTCACTAAAAATACTCAAAAATAGTATTATGTATTAGATTTGATAACTAATTATTAAGGTCTACTATTCAAAACTTGATTTAATAAATTAGTGGAAAGTTTGAGAAACAGACTCGTTAAATTGGGAAACCCAAAAATTGAAGTTGAGTTACCTTGTTGCACATGTTGCTGTTGTGCTTGAACAGAAGGGCTTCGTGAAAGCGTATGATTTGGTGGCATTGTGTGGTGGGTAGGAGGTGGCTGTGTTTGTGCTATTGGCGGTTGCTAAAAAATTTCAAATAAAAGATTTAAAAAATAAAAAAAACGTGTGGAAGTTGAGCATATTGAAATTGCTGTAAAGACGCAGCAGGAACAGGAGCAAAAGTTGTTACTTGGTTCGCCATAAAATTATTTCCAGCAGTAGCACCCCAATTCAAAACATAACCGGAAAGATTAGCTGAATCAGTACCCGTTGCATAAAATCCAGCTGCTTGTTGCTGCTGTTGAAATATGTGTTGCTGTTGATGAACAGTTGCTGGTATAGTCACTAAAAATATTCAAAAATATTTTTATATGTTTTGTAAAATTTGAAATGATTTTATAGTTATGTAGGTATTTTAGAAGATGATTTTAATTAATGAAGATGACTTTAATTAATTTGAGATTTATTCAGGACTATACTATCTGGCAAGGGCGATTGGGGGGGTTATAGCCCCAGAAGCCCTCCTGGTTCTTGCCATCTGGAATTGTGTTCAACTCCCTCTTTTTTGAGTTTATATTTAATGTTACCCTGTTGCACATGTTGCTGTTGCGGCTGAACCGAAGGACTTTGCGAAAGATTATGATTTGTCAACATTGGTTGATGGGTAAGAGGAACCTGTGCTTGTGCTATTGGCGGTTGCTAAAAAATAATTTAAATTTTTAAAAAGTCTAAAATAAAAAAAAACGTGTTGAAGTTGAGCATATTGAAATTGTTGTAAAGACGCAGCCGGAACAGGAACAAAAGTTGCTACTTGATTTGTCACAAAATTATTTCCAAAATTAGTAGCTATAGTTGCCAAATTATTTGTTGAAGTTGTAGTGCCAATAGTATTATTATTATAAACAACTAAACTATTATTAGGAATCATTGGTGTTGGAGCAGAAGAAACATTATTATTATTATTGTTATTATTTGTATTAATAATTGTAGTTGATTCAGCAACTTTTGTTGTTGGTTTTGAAGAAGGAACGAATGAAGGGGCATTTAGGTCCAATTTAAATTTTCTAGAAAAAAATAATTACAATTCATATTTGCTTTTTTGAGTTAAAAGCTACCTTTCTCCTTTATCCCCTTGTTCACTGCTTTGAACAGATACTGCCCTATCAACACTAGCTCTTCCACCAGCACTATTTTTGCGACTTTGTATAGGTGTCGGAGCTTTTACATTTTGTGGAGGTAGAGGTTCTGGTGGAGGGGAAACGTCTATAGCATCCACCTTCTTTTCCTTCTCAAACTTTTTATTTCCACCTTTTCTAACGTCATTTAATTCTGATGTCATTACTTTTTGAGAATGAATTTTCTTTTCGGAAGTAAACGGTTTCTTCTCCTAAAATAAATAAAAGTTATTATTTATGTTAGTATAACTTTAAACTGAAATATCGATGCAGAAATGTTATTTATCGATATGTATTAGAGCTGCTAGAAAATTTACGTATCGTTTTTCGTGGATTTTTTTATGATTTTTGTTTCGTTTCGTATGAAAATTTATTTTCGTTTTTCTTTCGTTTCGTTTTTCGTCGAAAAAGTATTTTCGTTTCGTAAAAATTAAATTTATTATTTCGTTTCGTTAAGAGCAAAATTTCATTTTCGTGCAGCTCATTTTCGTGCTGCTCTCCTATGCAAAGGGGTTCTCAAAAATTTTTTAAATGGTCCCATTTTCATTTTGAATAATCTTTTCCCCAAAATTTATTCTTCTAAAAATATTCCTTACATATTTTCCATCATCCTTTTTATACTCAATCATTTTAGTCGCTGAAAGTGAAACTTTATCCATTACTTGACGTTGTTTACGTTCATCATTAAATTTTCCACCTCCTCGTTGCGATTTTTCATTTGCATCAAATTTAGTAGCAGCGTCTAAATCACGCTCTTCATCATCATTTTCTAGCTGGGCATTATGTCGACTTGCTGGATTCATTGAAATTTGTTGTGCAAGAGCTTGAGCTTTCTCTAATACTTCTTTACTATGTTCGCCGATTCCAACGCTGAAAAACAAAAAAATTAAAAAAATATAAATGTGATCTGTCAGATTTAGTCTTTAAAGATGACTCATCATGAAAGCAGAGAAATTTAAATTAGGAAAAATATCTATTGTTCAATAAATAAACAAAAATGACTGTATCAGCGAGTATACTCTCTACCCCCTCCATTTGTGTCTTTTTGAGTTTTAAGAATATATTAATTCACTAAATTTATGATAATCGGTCATTCATGTATTTAAGGCAACTTTACATTTAGATACGGAAAAAATATTCTTTTGGAAGATAGGAAATGTTGATCATTGGAAATAAGGCCTCTTAGAAAAACTTAAGTTTCATCAGTTAAAGTATTAAGAGTACAAAGACAATATTTTTTCCGTTTCAGGTGAATTTCTTGAGGCATCTGCCCTAAATAATAACAAAGCAACAATACTATAAATGTTTAGAAGCAAAGAGATTTTTAAAAGCAAAAAAAGGGGAAAATGACAAATATTTAATCAATTAATCCATAAAACGATTTGCCAAGTATGTATTCTCCCATATTTAAATAAACATAGATCAAAATATTGTTACACGTATGATGAAAAAACAAAACATATCGTTTACAAGATATAAATTTGCAAGAGAAAAGGAAAAAAATAGAGAAAGAGAAAAACGCGTTCTATGAACCGTGAAAAATATTTTATCATTTAATTTATACTTCCCGCATTTTTTGCAGAAAGTGACTGTATAGTTTGTAAAAGAATAGTTTTAAAGAGAACATTGGCCAATAGATTAGAGAAAATAAGTGAAAATTGGAGAGAATCAACATTTCCTTTTTTGAGTGTTTTAAAGGTTAAAAATGGAAGTGAGTTTAAACAAAAAGGATATATTATATATTTAGAAAATAAATGTTCAAAAGTTCCTAAAAAACTGAGGAATTTGAATTTTAAAATTCAATAGAATTTTTCTCGATTAATGATTTCCTCAATGGCAAAGAAAAATACAATTTCTAAAATATTTTCCTATTATTTATTTTTGTAAGTTAATTCATCGTCATACATATTCAATTATTTATAAAAATAAAATGGACTCATGAGATCCTTATGAGTTGGGACAAGTATGAGTTGGATTTTAAATACCAAAAATAATCCTTTTTGTTTGATTGTAGGCAAAAATTAGAAAGGCAATTTGGATGGAAGAAAGGAAAAAGTCTGACCATTTTGCAAAAATATAGGGGACAAATTGGGGAGGAAAAAAGGGGTCTGTCCGGTTCAATATTACCGTCGGTTCTTTTAATTTGTAAATTTCGAAAATAAAAAAAATAAATTAACAAAAGGAAACTTACTTTGAAAACTCCGATTCATCAAAAACTGTTCCATTTCCAACACACTTATCTTTATTTGCTTGGAACATATCTGTAACAGACCACCCACCCAAACTATCAAGTTCATCTACAACACAATTTATGGATTCAATAGCACCATATTCACCACAACCGTCATCTTCCCATTCTTGGAGATCTAATTCTGTATCCGACATATCTAAATGTTCATTTCCACCATTATTAAGATTTTTAGTTGCGGCAATTTTGGAGTCTGTTCGAAAAGCTGAAATTGAAATGTTTTTATATTAAGTGCTATGTTACTTTTTCCCCTTTTCTCTGTTTTGTCCAGGATAAATATTAAAAGGATTATTTACATAAAAGCTAACATTGAGAAAAAACAATTTAAATTAGTGTAACCCAATAAATTGCTGGGGAAGGTATGTAGGGGATTGTCGGGGTGGAGCCTTCGGGGTTCGGGTCGGGTTGCTACGCTAATTTAAATCATTAACTATATACTAACAAAAATATTTTACAATTATTAATGGTTAAAACAAATTTGATTAATTGTAAGTATTCCTTCAAATTTTAACCCAATAAAATTCAGTTTCTAACAAAAAGGAAACCATTAATTCATTGAAAATCCCTAAAACAAATAACAAAAAAACAAACTCCGTGCATTCCCAGGTTCAGAATCACCAGATATACGTGTAGCTACTACTTTCATTGTTTCATTTTTTCCAAGACGAGTTAAAGAAAACTTGCTTTCCGACACAAATATCACTTTATAAACGGAAACCAGTTCAACCTCGAGCTGAATCGAAAGTAAAATAATTTAAAAAAAGATAGAACAAACTTGATCAACTGCTGAAAACCCTCTAAGTAATCCTTTAAAAATATCGCCAGATTCATCTTCAACAAAAACCTGAGTTCCCTAAATTTATAAAATATAGAGGTATAAAACGATTTTAAATTTAAATTAATATATTCCCTTACCACCATCTTGTCGGCATGATCCTTCAGTGACATTGGCTACGGGGTCGAGAAATATGAAATTACTGTTGGGATTTGTAAAATCTAAAAAAGATTAATAGAACAAATCATTTAGCAAAAAAAATAAATTCTAAAAATGAAAAATATAAACACATTAGTGCCGGCATGTAACGAGATTCCGCGCGGGATTGATTTGCGGGATCTCGCCCCAAAAAATCATTTTAGCTTAAATGAATTGTCCGGGGAAACGGCGCAAATTCAAAAATGCGCAACCTGTCGGAACAACATCGCCCGATGTTGGAACAACCTTGATCGTTGCTGAAACAACTTGCAGAATCAGATTCACAGAACCTGCGCCGTTTCGGTCGCGCCGTTTTGCCCGTCCCGAATTGTCCGTATTCGTGAATATTGAAAAATAGAGTGGTTAAGAAGGAGAGACATTAGAGATTTATGTAACAGTTTGACTTTATTTACAGCAGTTTGAGTGCCAATTTGAGTAGTGTGGGATTTGTCATAATTTTTACGATTTCTTTCAGCATTCTTTATTTTTCTTATTTTTTTTATTCTTATTTTTTAAATATTTTTTATTTTCTTTAGTTAATTTTATTCTTTTGTTAAAAGTTAAAAATAACAAATGGCTGCGCCCACGACTTTTCAAATTTCTGGGCTTTTGGAAAAGATGACTAATATTGACAAAGTTTTAAATCTAATTAAGCATCGATATTTTTAATCTTTTAAGGATTTTCGTTATATGGCTGTAAACGATTTAATGGCAGAATTGTGTAAAGCATCGATTGCTTTAGATGAAGATATGGAGAAAAGAGTAAATTGTTTATTTTATCCTTTCAAAAATCTTTTTTAATTTGAGATTGTTAATTCTCTTCTGTCACTGATTCAAGACAAGAATGCTGAAGTGCAAAATTTGACTTGTCGTTGTTTAGGTTAGTTTCTTTGGGTACTTATTTAGTTCCCCCCCAGCCAGTTTTTTCGAAAATTATGTAAAAATGGTCAGTCTGAACAACAATTGTAGAACCCATCGAGTTGTGTCGAATGACACCAAAATCAACAAAATCCGACTTGATTTGACCGAAATACAGACCCCTAAACCACAGGGGCACAAAATCATAAAGACGAAAATCTATACACATGATAGCTCATTCGAAAGAGCTCATCGAGCTGAGTCGAAAGAGACCAAAATTAACGAAATCCGACTTGATTTGACAAAGAATGACATAAATCGTCGACTCCGGTAGGTCTAAATAATGTCATAACTTCGTCAAATCTTGTCCAATTTCGTTGATTTTGGTCTCATTCGACTCAGCTCGACGAGCTCTTTCGAATGAGCTATCATTTGCATAAACTTTTTTTATTTCAAAAAACCACCCCCATGGTTGTTCAATTTTCAGGGGTCTGTATTTCGGTCAAATCAAGTCGGATTTTGTTGATTTTGGTGTCATTCGACACAGCTCGATGGGTTCTACAATTGTTGTTCAGACTGACCATTTTTACATAATTTTCGAAAAAACTGGCTGGGGGGGGGGAAACTAAATTAGTACCGTTTCTTTGTTTTTATTGTTTCTCTTCTCATTCCCTACCACAATAAATCAGTAAATTTTACTTTCTTTTATAGGCCCATTGGTTCATAAACTTAAATTGCCACAACTCGAAATGATGATCGATGCATTATGTGTTAATCTAGGCTCTTCTAATGAATCACTTCGTGATGTTAGTTCAATTGCTCTCAAAGTTTGTATTTAGCATTATCCTTCAATCAGGTTTTTAAAGATTGTGCTCAATGAATTGCCTACTACTGGTATCCATCAAAATGTTTATAATTGTGTAAAACGCGTTGTTCCTAAATTGTTGGAAGCACTTAGTTTGGAAATTAATTTTTTATTGATTTTTTGTTGTTTTTAAGAGACTGACTCATCGGCCGTAAAATTGGAAGTTTTGGATGTTCTTGGCTCTTTACTTATGAGATATGGGCGTACTGTCGATTTATATTTTGATCAGGTTTTTGGCCATTTCCCCTTTAATTTTCACTTAAAAATATTTTTCAGGTCGAAACAATTATTTTTGCTCAACTTGAAAAAGAACGCCCAGCACTTAGAAAGCGCGCTTTGAATGCTTTAGGTTATCTTACAGATGTAGTGCCTGATGAGCAATTTGGGAAAATTATGCAGGTTTGTTTTGAATTAGTTGGCTCAAAATCTTTTCATAAAATCTACAATTTTAAGAGAATTTTGACTGTTTTTTCAAAATCTAATGTTGACTTGGGAACATTAAAAACTTTTGTGCTTGCTTCAATTACTACTTGCCGAGTTTCTTCTGTTCGAATTACACCGTTTATTCCTAAAGTGAATAATTCAATTTTTTTCCTTTAAATTTCAATAATTTGTAGATTATGCCTTTGTTGATACAAAAATGCCGAACGGTTGATGATGATGAGTTGCGTGAAAATTGTTTGCAGGTTTGTTAAATTTAATTTGTTCGTAATAATTTGGTAGTCTATATGTACAATTTTAACCAACAAGGGATACTTTTCCAGCAGATACCTTTTCAAAATTTATATTTCCTTTTCATAATTTTAGGCATTTGAATCCTTCATATTTCGATGTACAAATGATATGGAGGACTATGTTGGAGAAATTAGTTCTATTTGCACTGAATTTATTTCATACGATCCTAACTATAATTACGGGAATGGTGATGAATGTGAAATGGAAATGGATGATGAAACTAATGGTGGTGATGAGGAAGAGGATGTTGACGAAGAAAATGACAATTATTCGGATGATGATGGTTAATTTATTATTAATATTTTATTTAATTTTCTTTAATATTTTCAGATGTTAGTTGGAAAGTTCGAAGAGCTTCTGCAAAATGCATTGAGGCTTTGGTATTTTAAATATCTCAATTGATTTATTTTTTTGTTAAAGATAACTTACCGACATGATGCTTTAGAGGAAAATTATGATAAATTTGGTTCTTTGTTAATTAATCGTTTTAAGGAGCGCGAAGATAATGTTAAATATGATTTGCTTTTTGCGTATTCTGCACTTTTAAAACTTACAAAGCAGTTGTGTCCTGAATTGGCTGCATTTAATTCTCAAGTAAAATTTAAATTTTTTTTAACTTTGATTTTAAATTTTATTGTTATTTCTTCAGAATTTACATGGCACTGCTGACTTCAAACCAGAGTCATTCTTGGCTTCTAATTTTGAACGTATTCTTAATGAAGAAATGGACAACTCAAATCGACAAGTTTTCATTAAGCTTAAACGTCAAGTGCCTTCGCTAATGAGAGCTTTGCAGCGTGAAATTAAAACGAAGAATATTACAACTAGATTAAATTGCTATACTTTAATGTCACATTTGATTAGGTTTGTAAACTGTTTTGTTTAATTTTTCTATTCTTTTTAGAGCATATCCAGGCATATTAAAAGAATATTTGGAAATAATTGCTAAAAACATTAAATCTACATTATCTGAGAATTCTTCAACTGACGGGAATATTAAAATTGAGGCCTTACGTTTTATTTCTTTAATATTAACTACACATGCTTATGAGGTATTTTTTTAATTTTAATAATTTGTTTTTTAATTTTAAAGGATTTAAATAATTTTGTTGATACAATTGTTCCTTTACTTGTTAAATCTATTGAGGACGTATTTTATAAAACTTCTGCTGAAGCATTATTAACTACTCAACTAATTCTTTATGTTTTGAATTGTCAAAAAGAGAAGCTAAATAAAAACAATGTGCAACAGCATGTTCTCTCGTTACATCAAGCTATTGTTACAAAATTAAAAGTTAATGATATTGATCAGGTTTTCAAATATTCTTTATTTTAATCTTTGATTTTTCTCAAATTTTCAGGAAGTAAAAGAAAAGACAATTTCTACAACAGGCTTGCTTCTGTCGCTTTTTACTTATGACCTCACCCCGGAAATTGTAAAATTTTATTTAAATTTAAAGAAATAAGAGTTATTTTAAGAATCAAGCTTGCCTTTCTGCTTTATTTGAGCGACTCCGAAATGAAATGACTCGATTAGTTACTGTTCGTTCTATCAACACAATTGTAGACAGCAATGCAAAGATTGAACTACAACCTTTTCTTCCCGACTTGCTTACTCTTTGTTCCGAATTTTTGCGTAAAAATCAGCGTTCTTTACGGGTATTTTTACTTTTTTCTAGAAATTTTAAATTAAATTCTATTTATTTATTCTTTCCTTTAATTTAGTTGAGCACACTTATTTTATTAGAATCTCTTGTTAAACGTCGTTTTAATCAAAATGGTTTGCAAGGGCCTGGTTTAATTAAAGTAGTCAAGGAAATACCTGCTTTAATTAGTGAAATTGATATTCAATTGAGTCAAATTGCCGTTACATTTATTACAAGTTTGTAGTTTATAAAAGATTTTTTCAATAAAATTTTTTTGTAGATATTGTCAATTCTTATCCAGATCAGATTCAAAGTGATTCGCTTAATAATCTCTTCAAGTAAATAATTTTTTTCGAAAAAGTTTTTTTGAATTTTTTTTCTAGATCTATCATTTCTTTGGTTCAAAGTTCCTTGCTTCAAGGTTCTACATTAATTGCCTCTTTGGGATTGATTGCTGCGTTAATTCGCTCTCCACTGCCAAATAAACCATCCTTTGATGTTAATTTTTAGATAATTAAATAAACAAATTATTTTTTAAGGAAATAATTTCAAAACTTACTGAACCAGTTCATTCTGCCTCTGCTCAATTATTACATCGACAGGCTTATAGTTCAATTGCAAAGGCGGTCGCTACTGTGGCGCAAGCAACTTCTGATAATAAAAAATCAGCTAAACTAGTTACTACACTCAGAAATTATTTGAAGAATCAAAGCAGCGATTCTGTTCGCCTTTATGCAATACTTGCTTTGGGTGAATTGGGACATTCTTGTAGTGAAACAATTGATGCTGCAAAGAATGAAATCCGGTTAATTTTTGGATTTTTTCAAAACATTTGATCGTTAAAAATTTTCTGAAAGAATTTTATAATAAGGTTATTCTTTCATTCTTTTTTTAGCACTGAACAATTAATTATCGAATCATTTGGTTCTCCACTTGAAGAGATTAAATCAGCTGCTAGTTATGCTCTTGGAAATTTAGCAACTGGAAATTTAACAAAATTTCTTCCATTTTTACTCATGGAAATTTCTAAAGAAGAGAGACGTCAATATTTATTTTTACATGCATTAAAAGAAGTTATTGATGAACAAACAGGTGCAACTTGTTCTTTGGAAAAGGCTGATGTTGTTTTTACAAATGGGGTTGCAGAAATTTGGGAATTATTAATTAAATATTGTGGATCTAATGAAGAAAGTATTAGAAATGTTGTGGCAGAATGTATTGGTCGTTTGTGCACTGTCAATCCTGGACATTTTGTGGGCGAATTAGTTGTGAGTTTTTTTTAGGATTTTTTTACCAATATTATCTTGGGTTCTAGTGAATTTAAATTCCCAAGAATTTTCTGAAAAAAATTTTTTTTTATTCCAGCAACAAGTCAATAGCTCTTCAGCCAACGTCCGTGCTACTGTTGTCACCGCTTTACGCTTCTTAATTGCAGAACAGCCTCGTACTTCGGTAGATGAACATTTACGTCCAGTCCTTGGACAGTTCTTTGCTGCTATCCGTGACAATGATTTAAATGTTCGTCGTGTTGCAATTGTTACTTTAAATTCTGCTGTTCATAACAAGCCTAAATTAATCAAAGAATATTTGCCTTCATTATTACAAGCACTTTATGAGGAAACTAAAGTAAAGCAGGAATTGGTTCGTGAAGTTGAAATGGGTCCCTTTAAACATGTTGTAGATGATGGATTAGATTTGAGAAAAGCTGCTTTTGAATGGTGAGAAAATTTGGAATTTAAGTGAAATTAGTTTTTTTGGGGGGGGGGGGGTTGAAGAATCTG